TGCCAGAATCCAAGCGACAGATACAATAGCGCTGCGCTTGAGTGAAGGTGGAAGCAACGCATAGAAAAATGAGCAAATACCCAAAGCCTTCTTCTGAGGATGTAATCTTTGCTATCAAATTCGTTCGAAGCATTTATCTTTGAGCGGCAGATGACGCGATTGTACCTGTCTCATAGCGTACGTATGAGACAATTGAAGAGTTGCCAGTCTTCTTGATATGTTGTCTTCGCTAAAGTGGTAATTTTTTATACGATGGATGAGGAGATGAAAGTATAGAGTTGATAGTTCTGTTAGAGTACGGCAGTGTGAAAATTGTATATAGAGAGTAGAAAGCGTGCAAGGACAACTTTTCAAATCGATTTGATCATCTCTCTTTACCAAACTCCCCTGTTGGAGAGGGATGGTGGTGGGTATCCCCCCGCCACCACTGGCAAAAAGAGATGATCGCCGACTTGCTCATGTACCGACGGTGTGTTTGAAACAGTTCTATCGATTGTACCGCACTCAAGTTGTTATCTGAAGGGAGGCATCCAGTCGTAGGTTTGGAAATTGCAGCTATTGTTACCTCTACCACGGTTATAACTCTAGATGGGAGCCTACCATCAATTACTGTCATTGGTCGAAAGGTACAGTAGCACCTACCCTACCCGTGTCTCCTCGAAATCGTCAAGTCGACGATGACAGGAGCACATACATCCATTTCCCCTACCTTCACTACTGCTTAAAAAAGGCTTAAAACCATAGACAAACAGGCGTAATACTTTCTCGTCAATCATCGTTCACGCATTTAGCATTCAATTTAAATATTATTAGTTGTGCGGGGGCCGGTTACTCGCGGCTATCTCGAGGTTAGGGGTAACAAATTGTAACAAATGGATGGCAGGGTAGGGATTGAGAACACAAGGTTTGGAGAGCAATGTGCTCTTGATCTCGAACTAAGCGACTTCTGATGAAAAAGACAAACATGGGGGTACACCGATGGGTAGCTAATAACTTGGGAGAACACAAGATGACACTAACTACTAAATCCTCAGGTCTATCCGTTTTATGAACACATAAATTAAATTCAAATAGTCGAGATCTCGGCTAGCCAAGACATCTCTAACGGGTATCGCGGGTTGTTTTCCTCGGGCCCTGAGGGATGTGGATAGCTCAGATCTGGCAACACGGTGTAGGGTACATGACCAAACAACATGCTCGATATCGTGATATCCACTGTCACACGCACATAAATTGCATAAATTCGATAAAAGTGTGAGTCTACCGAACAGTGATTGGACATAAGCCTTGACATAACGCGTATAAAGTCGCGGCCTATGTCCAACCCTTTGAACCATGGAACCATTCGACACCTGTGGGATAATAGAATGTAACCATCTTCCCAAATCACCATCATTCCATGTTTATTGCCAACTGATGAGGACTTGCTGACGAGCAATGGAGAAAAATTCGTTGAAGGCGATTTGTCACTCAAAAATATCGCCTTCCATAGCGCCCACCTTAGCCAACGAGTCCGCTTTCTCATTACCCGGAATTTAGCAATGAGATGGGACCCATACTAAGGTGATAGTATAGGAGCAGTTAGATAAAGCTCTCAGTTTAGATCCTATTTCCGGCAGGAAATACGAGGAGTACTTCATCGGCCTCATTGAACGAATAGCCTCCAATGAGCTAAGGCTATCCGTAAAAATGAAATAATGGTCAGAAGGTAGTGATGCAATTCGCTCTACTTCGTAAAATATGGCTACGAGTTCCGTAACGTATACGGAGTATGGTTTTTGAAGTTTATAGGAGTCGCTATGAAATTGATTAAATACACCAAATCCAGTGGAAGCATTTATGGTTGACCCATCTGTGAAAATGCCTGTAAATCCTAAAATCCTAAAAATCCTGAAAACTCTCAAAAAAATATAAAAAAAAACGCCAGAAAAGGGCACACAATCGCTGAATTATCCTAGAATTACCATTATGACTGTAACTCTCATAAATTGCCAAGAATACCGTTTAAACCGTCAAAATGGCAACTCTCATAATAATCTTGAATCGTGAATTTAAAGACACAATTTCTATTTAATTTCTCTACCTTATTTGCTTATCCTTAACAGACACGCGTATTTCGTCTACAATGTGCAGACTTCTTCAGTGTCTTGAACTAATACTCGACGTCCATTAAGACGCCCACATTCATCAGGAGGCATAAAGACAACAGAGAATTTGTAACTTACCATTTGTCTAGGATAAACACCTTCCCGAGCAAAGTCGGTTAACAAAATGAAAGCAAATCGATATTAAAGTGTGCAGTTGCTATCATAATGAAAACTCATTTTGATTTCAAATGTTGCGACATAAGTCTGATATCATATTGTGCTTTCATTATGCAGTCAAAACTTTTTAAATGAAAGCAACTTAACTTGAAGTTCTGCTGTTTACGTATTGTTTAAAATTTAATTGAAATTTATCTGTCGTTGAACTAATGATTATTGTTTATTTGATTTATTTAATCCTTTAGGTCATTCGTTGCTTGCCCGGGGTGAGATTGGAACCCAAGTCTTTCAGCTTAAGAACATCAGTTGAACATTATGAATGCAAAATCAGTAAACAAATTGATTTCATTGAAAGCAGGATTAGTTTTCCGTTTGCTTCAACAGTGTAAAATTTTGCTCTCATTTTTGCTGTGTTAACCGTTAAGTCAACCAAAATGAGATCAACTGGAGTATTCAAAATAAGCTACATCATAACAGCAAATTTTGATTTCAATTTAATCTTCAGCTTTGCTCGGGTTTGCCCGACACCTCCACTGGTTCTTCATGTCCGCTATCTGTCACTGTTTGCAAAATATCTAATAGCAATTACCTTTGTTGTAATACTTCCTGTATTTCCATGGTCATCTGGGAGGAGGGTCGCATCTAGTGCTTTCCCCAGGAACCGTTCACGGCCACCAGCTACCGCCCGTCCAGTCTTGGGCGTATCCAGCGAGACATCCTTCAGCTTACTCACAATCTCCGACACTCCAAAACAAAACATTGAATCCATTAATCGCAAAAATGGCATTCTAAAATTATTTTAGATCGCCAAAATATATAAGGGGGAGAAAGATCTTGTTAAGAGATTTAAATTAGTATAAGAAAATGTACAGGTACAATCGTCAGAAAGTTGTTTGAATTTCCTAAAATGGGTCGCAACCCATAGATTGAGAAACGCTGACTTAGTCAGTAAAGGCACGGTATAACTAACAATCAATACGATACTTACGATTTTAAATTGGCTCACTACTTGACTAGCCTATTGGTCCCAAGCAAACGATTAACGTACCCCATTCTAGTCGAAATTCTAGTACTACGCAATGTTTGTTTTGATTAGCTATGAAAGTTTGACAGATAAATTGAGGGGTTATTGGTTTTTCCTATGTTTCGAGGGGTGAATCGATTAGCTTGGGACTGAAGACAGTACCAGAGCTGAGCCAAAAGCTGAGCGCGTTATTTCTGGACCTTCTAGTCTTAGAGTTACCTCTATGGTATAACCAAGCCGAAGGTGTTCGATTCCTGCTCCGATCGAGGTAATCTTACAGGTTGGATATTTTCCTCGGTTTCCCTGGGAATAGAGTATTATACTTGCCACACAACATATAAATTCATGCATTGGTTGGCGTCGATAGCTCTAAATGTACCTGTAATATATGCCAGTATTTCTCTTAGTAGATGATATCTCGGCGTCTCTCGGAAATAAGCACGAGCAATGCGTCAAAGTTCAAAGTCAGTCTTCCAATATCGAATAGAACAAAGACTCGTAAATTGTTACGTCGGATTTGCGCGTTTTGAAAAATTTCGCCAAAACAGCGCACTTTCCATTGTTACTGATGATGGGTGGTTGTCCACCCGCTAAAGCCAATTAATCCTGTCTCTCGCACAACCGGCAGTTCAAGTAGGTTAGCAAACGGCAGCTATGGTAAACAATAAACACGCTTTTCCGTTTTTTTTGGTTTTTTTCAAAGAGTAGGCTATGTGCCTTATTGGCGATCTTTGCACATCCTGGTTACTGCGACACGCGAGAATGGCACATAAACTGCGCCACCATTCTGCTGCCGGTCTGAACCGTCTGAACCGGCTATCAAGAATCGGGTACTTCTATAGAGCAGTCTGTATGCTTTTACAACCAAAAGTATAAATAAACCGTTTCGGGGCGCATCTTTGCCGCCGCGTGTTGCCGACATACCGGAAAATGGTCACCCCACAACTGTGCGCCACAGTGGTCGTCAGTAGATGGGATGAATTTTTATTTTTGTTTGATAATCGTAAAATTAAGTGGGAAAATATACAGAGGATATGTGCCAAACCGAGCGGCGGCGTGGTCCGTCCAAAAAGAGAGCGAAAGTTTGACGCGGCTGTTCGAGGGCGGGTGGAGTGTCATCTTTCACTTGCTGTCAATGCTCCCTTGGCTACTGGGTCTGCCGGTTTTAGTGAGTGAGCGCGACTAACACTGTCCACGTCAGCAAGGCTAAATCGCGAGAAAATGCGGTCCATGTGCGCGTGAGGTGAAGCTGGCCATTTGTTGTCTCTATGAGGGGGAAATCACATGTTTGCTCTATAAATAAGAGTCGGCCTTTTTTTATTTTGGCTACAGGCATACCGCCGCCTCCGTGTGATGTGAGATGTGGTTTCTTACCGGCTGGCTATGCTTATTTAAGATATGTGCAAGGAACATTGTTGTATGTATATGTATATGTAGTTCAGGCCTGCTCCACCTTTCTAAACATGCTTTTTAAATGACTGTTCGATGAACATGTTTCTTGCTGCATTTTGTTTATTTCTTATTGATTCAAAATGATGAATACAATAGGGCTAGATCCTTGCTCAAATTCAGCGACCACGATAGATCTCCAATTTCAGTGATTCACTGTGACATCCATCACAACAAGGATTTTGCATCTGTTGTACCTTTCGAAAATGCGAGCCGGTCCTAACATAATGTTCATAAAGTCACATTTTCTTCTTTCTCTTCAGATGACGAGGATACCGTTAAGGAAACTCCCGCCCCTAAGGTAACGACCGGAGCCGCACAAACTGCCCCTCAGTCTGGTGACATCCAGATGCACGTCCACAACGACCACGGAACCGGAGGCCATTGGTGTGCCAAGGTTGTGTTCTTCATCCTACTGGCCGGCCTGGGTGCCTTGATTGGCTTGATCATTATTGAAAACAGAGGCTTGTCGAATGCCGATACACCCCTTTCGGAATCACGATATGCCGAATACTTTGAAGGGTGGGTTGATGAGAACCGCGAAGATGACCACCACCATGAGGAAATTTTGGAAGCCCTCAACCAACTGGACGATCACGACGATGAAGATCAGGCACATGGCGACGAGGATCATGGTGACGAAGATCACGATGACGAAGAGGACGAAGATGATGGTGCCCCGTACGCTGAAGAGGAAGATCATGACGATGAACGTGACCTGGAAGATGATGAAGATGAAGGCGAGCTTCCCAAGTTGGACGACGATGAAGTAGAGGAGATTGTGGCCACCAAGAAGAAGGTGGCTGAACAGGAAGCTCAAGCTGCAGCGGACGATGATGACGATGATGATGGTATGTTGAAATCATTTAAACAATTGCCGCAAAATCATTCCGCTCTGAATCTCCTACGTAAAACAATGAGAGACGAATTGCTAGCTCCGGAATTTTCTGGTTTATTATGACGCCTTTTCTAAACTGCAATCGTGTGCAAACTAACAACGTTTCATTTGTAACAATCGAATAAATGTGTTAACGCGGAAAAATCATTTCCCCGATGAAAAACAGATAATGAAGATGATGCTGATGATAACGACGATGACAATCAGGCTGATGATGACGATGATGTTGACGACGGTGACGAAGACGCCGACGATGACGATAAAGAAGATGGTAATTCGATATTTTCCTACTTCAAATTTTAACCCGACACCCGAGTGAGTACAAGTGGGAATTTGCATTCCGCTTCATGCGTTTTCTGCTTTGTGTATTTTTCGCCGCGTCGAATTGTGGTTTTGCTGTTTTGGAGTGCTTTTCCTCTGTGGATCGTGTCCGTCCCGCCATGAAAGAGATACACCAACGATACGGGACAGCTTTTCCGATTGGGGGGGCGCGCGCAAGTGTGGCGGTGGTTTTTCAGTTTTGACTTTTCCGATAATGTTGTTTTTCGAGCGCACATGTACATGCCTACATGTTGCTTATGGTGTGTGACTTTGTTGTTTTTTTTCGATTGGCTGTTTACTGAGAAAACAAAATTTATTCTATTTCCCGTACGCGAAGCTACAACTGCAGACCCCAAGACTGTTGACGCGCAACCTGATGACGACGACAATGATGATGGAGATGATGGTGAGGATGAGATTTCTGCCGCAGAACAAGATGATGATGATGATGAAAAGGATGAACCTAAGCTCGTAAAAGACGAAGATGACGATGATGAAAATGATTCCAAGGTCAATCAGGTTGCAGACGAATATGACGACGACGACCAAGACAATGACGATAAAGGCGATCGGAATGATGCGGATGGTGAAAATGATGACGATGATGAAGATGAGATCAACACTGATTTTGTAGAAGACGATCAGAATGATGATGATGGAAAGATTGACAGCGATAATGATGATGAAGATGATGATGATGAGGATGGTTAGTAGAGTTTTGTGGATTTTGAGATCATAGGCTGCCTTTATATTTGCTGAATTCATCGCTTTCCAGCATGTTTGAGGCGTTGGTTTTTGGGTCCCGAATATGTCCACTAACTCTACGTTGAATACTTTGTCGGTGGACGCATAATTGTCCCATGTGGTATGGAGTTTCATATACACATGTGACAATTATGCTTCCAACGACAGATTGTACAAAAGTTGCCGCGTTGTTTTATCATCTTAGTAGTATTATAGGACAGAGTGATTCTTTGGCCTAAGCAACTGTATTCGTCCAATGGAGTTAAACATATCAAAAATATCTTTGATTTCACATTAGATTATTCAATAAACCGTTTGGTTCAATACCATGAGTGTACCAATTTCCACTCATGTTCCAATTACCGCTCGCTGGTATGAAAAACAGTAATTTTTTCAAATTCTAATCTTCTCATGTGGTTTAGGTTTTAATTTCTGCTACTCTTGGGCAATGATTCAGTGAACAACAATGGGCTATGTAGATTTGAAATATCGCAGTTTTCAGCACCAATGAACGGTAATTGGAACATGAGCGGTAATTGGTACACTGATGGTACTTTAATTTAAAAGCTATACCACAGACAAACAGTTATAATACTGACAAGTTGTTCATCCAATACGCATTTAACGGTCAATTTAAATATTTCTTAGTTGGTAGTACCACCACCTGTGGCGTGTTAGGACGAAATTGAATCTCGTAGATTTTAAAATAGAATAACAGTGACATATTTTAAATACAATATATTTTTTTATGTTAGTTTAATTAGAAGTCATCCATAGTACAAACTTTCATTTTTTTTGGACAAATCGCTTTAAAAAGAGAAGTATTGTGCGGGATGTACTTAGTAGGACAGGAATTAGATACAGTCCTTATTGTGTTATGATTTCTGTTTGTTCTATTCTCCGTTTTGGTAACATGTAGGTTTATGTAGGTATCATCCAAAAATACGAAAATAGGTATTACATTTGCTATGCATTCTTTAATTTTCTGAAGTTTAAATGCGATATCTGAGTATAATCGATATCATCAGTAGGGTAAGGTGAGGCAAGATGGGTCAGCTACTACATTTATTAATTTATTTGTTTGTCAAAATCACAGGTTTAATGTAATCATAATGACGGATTGCTTTTTCAAAAGCTACATGAGCTATTAATGTTGACAATCAAAAAATAAATAAATCAACTTGATATTAGAAACAGTTGAATCCCAAATATATTTGTTAACACTTTACAAATTCTTCACAAACAAACAATGGCTTAACCCGCCGATGTATCGTGAATAAAAGGTCGCTCACAACACCATCAAGTAGAGGAATGTTTTCTCTATCAGTTGGTGGTATGGTTGGTTCGCAGGTAGAAGCTTTTATAGGCGAGAAATCGGCGGTTGGATCCATTGTTTACAAAAGCAGTTTTGCAAGCAGAAAGAATGTATATCAAAGTTAGTTTTTATGATATACAAGCATGGCAAAATTGAGTAGGGGTGCAGAGGTAAACACGGCCCAAAAACAACAAAGGTCACTCTATTATTCCTTCCCTACTCCCACCTGATTGCAAGGACGTGTGTAACGGAGTAATTCATAGATTGCAAACTGGTAACTGCCATGAATCAACTTTAACGTTCTTATTCTGATTGTTTAAGGAAAACAATTTGGGAGTGAATAGTTCTCCAATCAAAGTTCAGACCAGGAAAAGCATGACAATTACCGTTACCGGCCACGCCCATCTTCTCCGCTATGGGGAAAGGAAGGATATTGTTGATGAAACATCTACTTAACGGGAGGCCAGCGACTCACCGACGCCCCCATCGATGGTACGGAGTTGGATAGTTTGGTAGGAGATGGGTCATGATTCACTTAAGCAGTCGATGCGACCATACTAATTGTTTTGTTCTCGATGATCTTGGGAGCAAACCCACGATCTTCTACTCAGTAAGCAAATGCGGCAGCTGCTAAGCTAGCCGAGCTCCTAAATTTAAATTCCAATCATGTTTAAGGTTTTTGATATCTTGGCTAGTGGTTGAAAAACTATTTATCAATAATCGGTCCAAAACTCAATCATCAGTAGAATTTAATCAACTCTAATTTATTGAGAAGTTAAAAGAACTTCTGGGGGAGTAAAGATATCTTTAGGGAACTCCCGACTAGCGGGAAAGTTTAAAGATCTTCAAGAGAATATTCGGACAACTTCGTACATTTCAGGATAATGTTGAAAACTTCATCGAAGATCTAGAGTAGTTTTTATGAGAACTTCAGAGTAATTCTGACGAGAACTTAGTTCTGAGGAGAACTTCCTAGTAGTTTTGAGGAGAATTTCAAAGTAATTCTGAAGAGATCTTCAGAGTAGTTCTGAGGAGAAGTTCAAAGTAATTCTGAGAAGAACTTCAGAATAGTTCAGAGGAGAAGTTCAAAGTAGTTCTGACGAGAACTTCAGAGAAATTCGGAGAAGAATTTCAGATTAGTTCTAATGAGAACTTCAGAGTTTTTCTGTGGAGAGTTTCAGAGTAGTTCGGAGGAGACCTTCACAGCAGTTCTGAAGAGAATTTCAGGGAAGTTCCGAGAACTCCAGAGAAGTTCCATTGACCTCAGGAAAATTTCGGGAAGTGTGGTCCTGAGTACTTAATATGGTCACCAATGTTCTTATTTTTGAATTTTTAAAATAATTTCGCGAAAATATTGAAGTCCCAAACACACAAACACAAATACACTAAATCTGTTTACGTGAAAATACGGCCAATTTCACCAACATTTTTAGTGGACATGACGTGTAATGCAGGTCAAAGTTACTAACGTCACGTTACATTTGAGATTTTCTAAATACAGATCAGGTACGTGAAATTTCACGTAAACCGGGCGTGAAGATTTTTTAGAGTATAGCAGCAGCCAAGTTTTTTCTTGCTTGCTTGCTTTCTGTCCCATTGGTTGGCCGAGAGCATCCAGGTCAGGAAAAATTCTCCGCTTCGTCACATGGTAATCCAACTGCTTTCTCCTCTTCCGCTTCTTGAGGAGTGGCTGAGCGTTTACGCTTCCCAGTTGTTGTTAATTTCTGGACAAAAGTATGATAGAAATTATTTTGTACATACATATAGACTGTTCCAGAAAGTATAAGCACACTTTCAAAATAACAAAAAAGTCATGTTTTTTTTTAAGTTTTAATAATTTTATTTGGCAAATCATATTTGTATTTGTATTTCAAATAATATTTTACTCTCGTTTAATCAACATATTTAATCATAGCCAAGACTCCTAACTTTTCCTCGAACATGACCCATTAGCTTCTGCACAGTGGTACTTACCACCATTTTGACCACTTTTGGCCAATCTTTTTTGAATTTTTGGATGTCGTCCGCTGGTTTTATTAATTTTCGAAGCTTTGCTTTGGTTAGTCTAGTCTAGTCTACACATACACAGCCAGTACTTGAAAGAATCCTGGAAAATGATAGAAATACATCTATCATTTTTCTTGTCATTATTAATGCCTGCTGCACATCAAGGATGTGAAACAAACAATAAAGCGGCCAGGCCTACTGTGTAGCGTTTAGTTAATTTTTGTGGAAGTGAATGTTTACCATGTCTACTTAATAAGTATAGACAGTGGTTAACATTTAATCCACAGGTAATCAAAGAGCGGGGACATACCGTACCAACCGCTCCGTATGCAGGATTTGAAAATAGACTATATAAATCGTTGGGAGTGACCGAGCTAAGAAAGTTAATGTACACTCCTTGGTTGTCCGATCTCCTGGGATGGAACACAGGTATTTACCCCTTGTGTTCGAGCGTACAGTCCTCCCTCCGTACAAGTGTGGACGGCACCGCCCACCCACTACCATCCCTCAATCGATCCAGCCAACCTCAGTCGAAGGACAACAGAGAGCGGTGTGCGGACATAACCTATACGGAGGGAATGCTGTATTCGCCTAGGTTATAGCGCCCTTGCTCTCTATTCGTTATTCGCTGTCTACAATGAGAAGAAACAATGCATGAACTTACAATACGCCCCGCATACATGTAGTACCGATATAAAATGTATATTGGTACTGCGTGTACACTTCCATCATCAAAGCAATTCCTGCTTTGTAGATGGCACGTATTTAGTAGGATGTCTCCTAAAAAAATAGGATGTCTAAAATCCATAGGATGAAAGTTAAGTCTCATCCGAATCAAATGATTCCAAATGCTACGGATTCATAGAAATTAAGTTTAAATAGATAAAAGTAAAAAAAGGAACAATCTCACCAAATCAGTCCAAGTGTATCCTTTGCAAGCAGTTCTGTCACGTTTGGTGTAGTAGTTCCGATCATAGACCCGCCTTACGGGGATCAATCCTCAGGTTTAATATAGTCAATTGCTCCTTGACGCAAACACGAAGCGACCGCTCATAAAATCATGCAACGCATAAATAAACTGAACTTAAAAACTATCACTTGCGATGCCACAAATTTCTGGAGCGGGAGCATAAGCGAAATCTAATTACAACTTCACAAAATTCGAGAAAAAACGGAGCAAAAATTGACGGCTGAAAATTTTCCATGTCTTTCTTCGAGCACAGCACACTACGATCCCCGAAGCTTTGCTTTGGTCTCGATTGGCCGTGCCTCCGGGCAGTTCGGCGGATTCATGTCTTTCGGCACGAAACATACATTTTGACTTTTGTACCATTCTAAAGTGTCCTTTGCGTAATGATCATCGGCAGCAATCGCTTCTGGAGACATTCCTTAACGTATTTCTGAGTGTTCATCGTCTCCGTTGTGATGCGGGGACTAGATGTTTTACCACACTCGCATATTGCCTGCCAAACCATAACCTTCTTACCGAATTTTTCGGTAAAAATTGCCTTCTCCGTTTCGGGGATGTCCTTGCCTTCGCTTACAGTATAGAATTGTGGTCCGGGAAGCGCTTTGTAATCTAGTTTACGTTTCGTCGTCCATTATTATACACCCAGAATTTCGACACAATAACGAATCGTAGAGTTTGCGGGCCGTGGTTTCACGGACGCGGCCTGTTTTGGGTTCCTTTTGGGTTTTTTCTGCATCCGGTATGTTTTTAGCCAAAGTCTGCACGCATGACGTTACTCGACGAGGTCCCTAGTTTTTTCGCAACATCCTGAACGGAAGTCGCTGGTTTTCGTTTGTAGGCATCCCTGATCTTTTTATCGATATCCGGACTTACAGGACCGGATTTCCGGCCACTCTTCGGCGCATCTTCAAACGTACACTGTTCTCTATATTTTTAATCGCAGTTCGTACCGCTCCGACGCTTACACCCTCTTCCTTGGCCAATTTTCTCAAGGAGAGTCCGCTCACAGTGCACCATTTGTGCACGATACTTTTTCGTTGTTCCGGAGTAAGACCACGAATTTTGACAGGAAACACTAAACTGAGCACTTTTTTGATGCTATGTCATTCAGAAATGAGCAAACAAAAGGACGCAGCCAAAACACGTTGAAATATTTCATTATATTCAAAGTGACCGTTAAAATAAGGTGTGCTTATACTTTCTGGAACAGTCTATATTCAAGCTGGAAAAACTTGGATCTATTTTGGAGCACTCTCCAATATCTTGAAGCAGTGCATCAGGCTGAACGATGTTCCTTTCTTGGTGTTATACAGCATAAGCGCTTGCTGTAACACGTCCTCCGCAGAAGCACCATTTTGCTGACGAGATTGAACCTGTGCCAGGCAGCCAGCAAAATTGTCCTCACTTTTGTTTATGGTTGACCACCTGGACTTTATTCCTTTCATTCCCCGCCGCTCGAGATCAGCAGCAAAGTTTTTCTACAGCGTTTCTGCATATTATGGTTTGTTCAAAAGTTATGAATTTTTGAAAAAATATCGATTCTGAGAACCACTCTAACATGGAAATGGTCACCCTAATGACAAAACAAAAAAATACGGATATTTTGCGATAAGGAACAAAACTACAATCTTTTTCGAAATTCTGAGATCCACTATATCGTTTTGCAACTGTAATGATATTGTAAGAAACAATATTTATAAATATATATGAGTATTATATTCTATCTATAATAGATCCCGTTTAGCTTGTACCGTTACTGAATCATACACCTAACAGCAGATCGTTAACTTTCCGTGTCAGCGCTTTTGAAACAATGGTAACGAATCGAAATAAACATGTGGATATTTTGTAATTTTAGAATCGGTGGTCGGCAGCAAGAAAACCGTTGAAGACGACGACGACGACGACGACGAAAATCCGGTGGACGATGATAATGACGATGACGATGACGATGCCGATGCTATCGCCAAAGAAATCGATCAGTTGGCTGACGACGACGACGATGATGATGATGATGATGACGGAAAGACACCATTCGATGAAGAGGTGCGTTTAGCAGGAATTTTTGATCTTGAATTAAGTGTTTTATTATTTGCAAATTTAAGAACCAAACTAACGCTTTGAATGATCAAGTTAACAAATTGAGAGCAGGCGTTGGAGGAGATCATAAGACTGAAGATGTTGTAGATATGAAAGATGCTGCCAATAATGAGAAGGTAAGTCTAAGAGTTAGTTTACACGCTTCTGAACAGTTGTTTGAGTTTGCGTTTGTTTGAAACATGTAGCCTGTCAAGTTACAAGATTCTGTAACCAATGAGCTGCCTGTAGAACCTGTGATAAGTGCTGAGGTACTTAAGAGTCAGATGGATGAGTTAGTGGAAAATTATAATAAACTAGCCGAGATGATGAACTTGCCAAAGGAAGAACCTTCTGGGCAAGTAAATCCCGGAATCGCTGTTTCTAAGGTAAGAATTTTGCTTTGAAGAAATCTTATTTGAATGCAGTTGTGTTATGATCACTGTTTGTAAAATATCTCATTTCGATTCGCAGGACGACGATGACCAACTAACTGACGAACCTTCTTATAACAAGGCTAATGCTGACAACAATGATGATGATGATGACGACGATGATGATGATGATTTTGAAAATTTCGTCGACAACGATGGCGGCGAAGAAGAGTACCTCGCAAAGTTACGGAAGGAGCAGGAGGAGCGAAGCCAACAGAAGCAACAACAAGAAAAAGACGAGCCCCGAGAACAATCATCCCGTAAGTATCGTGATCACGGAGAATAAGTTCACTGCTCTTTTGCTACAGAATCACAATGAAAAATTTTAAGGCTCCATTCATTCACTCATTCCCATGGAAATACTTTCGAGAAAGTGCAACTTATGGCTTTCCCTTCAAAATATATTAGAAAAAAAAACTACTTCGGACAATGCAAAATTATTTCGACAAGAAAATTTTCAAAATTTCATTCAAACAAATTCCCGTTCTTCGGGTTCATCTGTCTTTTGCTGACCGAGCATTCCGACATTTCCAGTTGTGGTGCAGATCTTAGTTGGTGCTGCACTGATTGGCGCCGCTCGAATCGTGTTGATGCCTTCCTCGCGTGGTTCGACTCCACAGCCCCAATCAACGCCCCAAACGGCGCCATCGAGTGAGTGTTAGGCGTGTCTTTTCTTCTAAATTGTTGTTTTTTGATGTTGTTTTTAGTTCTTTACTCTGGATGTGACACTCTGTTTACCAGTTTTGTTTTATTTTCATGTTACTTTTCACCATTTTATTTGACTTTGTGGCTATTATTGCATGGCCTAACACTTGCCTTTTATTTTGGTGTCCGTTTTCTTTTCTCTTACGGGATTTCTTATAATCAAAATTATTACACTCAAACAACTGTTCTTCCCTAACACCCCAAAAGAATCACGTGTATGCGCGCTAATAAATTGCACTTTCCGTATCCGTGTTTCAAAGTTCACACATTCAGTATTTGTATTTAAAACCAAAATAGCATTCTCTAGGACTACACTGCACATAAAACGCTGCTGTTGTTGCTGCTGCTCGTTCCAATCACTGGTTATAAAGTGTATCTGCCTTGTAATAAAGAGCAAACCCGAAAGCTCGGTCCAAAATGGTAGTATATAGTAATGTTAAAATTGCATGCAGAAATGGGTGTGATTTCGTGTCCCTTTCTCCAAATAAGAGTGCTAAAATTGGGTACTGCTTGCTTTCGTTCTGCTATTCAAGATAGCACATATCAGCAGTCGCAAGAGGAGCCACTAGAAGAACCGGTGGTGGGCAGCTTGGATGACCGGTTACTGAGAAATGAAATGGCAGCCGCCAATCTGGCCGAGAAGGCCGAGCGGATTGAGGAATTGCTTAACCCGTCCCAGGGTATTGCGCAGCCCCGTTCGGTCGTCGAGGATTTCATCAATGCTGGAAGTGGACATGGACAGAGCGATGAGACTGAATACATTGAAGGAAGTGGTGAGTAGCTGGAGAATCATTGTTAACGCTGAACTCGACATTACTTGTTTTTCTCAGATGACTCAGAATAGTGTAAAGCCCTCTAGTAAAAGTGTGGACGACTGTCACCACAAAACTGGAAAAAGTTGTTCCAATCGAGCAAACCAGTGCATTTTGACGGTTCGATTGGAACTACTTTCGACAGACGTCCATACTTTTACTCATGTTCGAGTAGTTTTTCCGGGAAAAGCTCGGAAAATGTTACTTTGTGAGCAAATACACTTTTTGCAAAATTGAGTCTATTATCTATATGATATTGTAAGCCAAGAATGATTACACAAGTCGACAAGGAACTGCCGAAGGGTCGGAATTTCTCATTAATTAATACTACACTTTTCAACATCCGTCTGAAAACTAACACTCTCTGTCAGATTTAATTACGGTCAAATCTGTAGACATTAACATGATTAACCCGATACCTTGGGCATACGAAACTGAACTGGACAGGTATTTACTAGGTATCTTTCTTATAGTTTAAATAAGTACACGACTGGATTCGTTTGATCACAAAATACTTCTGTTTATTCAATCCTCGAAAGCACACTTTATAAGCTACATGCTTGCTCTCTCATGTGCTCTTTTCTCCTACATCAATCGACTGAGAGGAAATATCGTTTTACCGAAACTGGGGACTTTCTATCTTGCCACCACAACTCCTCCTTCCTTAAGAAAAGCCTTAGGCTCATGCTCAAATTCCTAACTGTCTTTAAAATCATTTTTCGATAACTTTCAATTACAATAATTCAAATCATTTAAACATAATATAACTAATTTGAACGAATTTAAAATTCAATAATAAACATATTCATCTTTTCTTCTCTTCTTTGTACGACGCTTCGATCGCCGCACTGGCTCTACTGCACTTGAAGTTCTATCTTCTTCAAAAGCAGGAACCTCTTGAAATACGAACGAATCCGCTGCGAATCCATAAAAATCGGATTCGGAATCTTCTTCTTCTTCTCTACGACGTTTGCTATAGGGTTGATCAATTCGATCGTTCTGTTGTGGAACCAAAGCTTCCTTGAATAAGCCAGAATCGGTTGCGTATCCATAAAAATCTGAACTTGCTGTTTCTTCTTCTTCATTCTGAAATTCTACGCTGCTTCGTCTGGTGTTGTTGTTGTTGTTGTTGTTGTTGTTGTTAGCAGAAGGCTGTGCTGAACCTGAATTCTCTTCATGGAAAACCAAACACTTTCTAGTTTTCAAACGAGAGTCAGGTGGGACTTTGATCTGTCGCCTATGTGCAGAAATCACTCTGCCACCAAGCGATACTTTTGATGTCTTCCACCGTTTCATCCTCCGTCAGGGCGTTTACTCGTTGCTTGGGAGCCGATGAACAAGAAAATTTACTCCTCCATCCCGTCGTAGAATAAATCGAGCCATGTCCGTCCCATTAGCGGGATGAAATCCTTTTCGCATCGTAGCACCACCAAAAACAGCTCCTTTCTCAGTCCGTTCAACCGTGCGTCAACCTTCACTTTACCAACAACATCCAGCTTGTTTCCGTCAATCACAAACAACCTCTTCTTACACATTTCAATAGGGCATTTTTTAAAGTTTCTTAGGAAAAGCTCCTCAGATATAACGCTTTCGGCAGATCCGCAATCTACCTCCATCTTCATTCTACGATTTTCTATTACTACTTCAGCGTAACACGGTTCATTACCTCTACGTTTTGACGAGATCATCATGCAAGCTAAATCTTCATCGTCCGATTCTATGCTCAACTCATCTTTTAATCTCTTGAAAAGGCCAGAAGTATGTGCAACTGGCGAAGGCTTAGGAGAGTCAATAAACTTTACCCCATGGCGGTTTTTACGAGGGCTCTTACGTTTAAGACGGAAACAAAATTTCTTAGTGTGCCCCTTCTTATTACAGAAAGAGCAAACAAAAGTTTTATTTGTGTTTTTATCCTGACTTCTGCTCCTATAAGAAAAGGATCGATTGTGACTCCTATTTATACTCCTACTCCTGTTGCGGTAGTCCCTTTCCGCAGGTGTACGCTCTGGTCGTCGACCCAACCTGGCAATCACATTACCTCTGCGCTCATCGTCCCTGTCCATAAAACGAGTTCTATCAGAAGATAATTCCTGGTTAACGATAAGCTTTTCCGCTCTTTCGGAAGTCAAGTCGTCCTCATCAAAAAGCCGCTTCTGCAACTGGCGGTCATAAACACCAATCACTAAAGCGTCACGGATAGCCCGTTCTTTAAAAACACCAAAATCGCAATGTTCAGCAAGCTGCTTAATGGCAAGTACGAAGTCTTCCGACTTTTCATTTGTCCCTTGCCTACGCGTCCAAAATTTATATGTGTGGATCACATCTGAATCCTTCTTATCAAACCTCTTCTTGAGCGCTTCAGTTAATTGTTTATAAGTTAATTCCTTGAAATTATTGCCCGGAAACAAAAGTTTTAGCTGAGTGAAAACTTCAGTTCCACAAACAGCTAGAAAAGAGGTCTTATATCTATCCTCACTGTAATTGTTGTGCAAAAATTGCCACTCCAGCTGTTCGAGGTACTGGGAAAAGGGAATCGTACCCGGAATGAATGGTTCGCTGGTTGTTGACATCGACATCCTGTTTTATCGCTGCGACGAACCAAAGCTCGGTCCGTTTCTGAGCGGCCAATAAGCGTCCAAAACAGCACTAAATCCAAGCAACGAATAGATCCAGCTGCTAACAACAACAACAGCATGCAAGAAAAATCTTCAAATCCTGGTCGCAACAACAGCAGCAGTATTTCTAACCGGCAACAGCAGGAATATTTTCACTATCAGCTTCAACAGTCTCACTAGCAGTAATTCTCACTTTTAGAGTTCGATGAACTACACCAAACGGTCAGTGAACTGCGTCAAGCGGTCGTTAAACTGCAACAAGCGGTCGCTGCAACAAGCGGTCGATGAACCAAACTAACGGGTCACTGAACTGCACCAAGAGGTCGATGAACCACACTAACTTTACTGGTAGAAGGTGTAAACAAAGCACCGAACACCGCTTTAGAAAACTTTTCGATCTGTTTCTCGCTGACACTTCACCAACACTGAGCCGAAACGGTAAAATCGGTTTTACCACCTTACCACAGTTTATTGTGATGGCGTCAAAAAGCTCTTGTCTGGTGACGAAAGTATTGATTTCTCACGGAGGTGCACTTGGAAGAAAAAGAATAAAAAAAAATGTATAAGAATCTGAGAGCCAACAAAATGCAATGGCGTCCAAAAGAAAAGGTGCTCGTTGTCTTTGCTTTCTACGAACAATTACGCAGAACAAAAAACTATTCTTTTGCTACAAGAATTAAAAAAAATCGATTAGTGTAGTTTTGGCGGAAAAAGACTCTAAAATCACTTCCGACACCACTTAACGACGACTAAAATTGGGCATTAAAATAAAATCACTGGCACGCCGTGCAATGCGGGATAAAAATGATTTCACAGATAATTTTACTAATCACAGATTTTTTTTTATCAAATACTACTAGTACTACATACGCCAATAAAATCACGCCAAAGTGCTTTTTAGGTCACACGCGGTCGTGAAAAATTGGTGCACACTTGAAAAAATTACTTTATCCTTTATCCTCGTCGCCACTGAACTGGACAGGTATTTACTAGGTATCTTTCTTATAGTTTAAATAAGTACACGACTGGATTCGTTTGATCACAAAATCCTTCTGTTTATTCAATCCTCGAAAGCACACTTTATAAGCTACATGCTTGCTCTCTCATGTGCTCTTTTCTCCTACATCAATCGACTGAGAGGAAATATCGTTTTACCGAAAGTGGGGACTTTCTATCTTGCCACCACAGAAACGAATGGTTCAAAGTTATCCATGTTCAAACATTTGACCAAAAGTTGTTGTTCTACGATTTTTGTAAATTTTTAAGTGTCCAAGGTTTTCAATATTCAAAAAGTATAAGCTTTTTAGTTTTTCTAAAACGAAAATATTGAACTAGGTCATTTGTTATTTAATTTATTAGTAATTCTTATACGTTTTTAGCCTTATCCAAGCGTTGACAAATGAGTGGGCGAGCCCCGTAATTTCAACGTTCAGGGTTCGACCACAGTATGCTCCGTTTTGTTATTTTAAAACAAATAATATTGTTTTTTCATAAGGCAAACTTATGAATATCGATACACGGCGAATAAGAACGACTCAAATTTGAGTTTAGTTCACTCATAATCGCCAAAAGTGCAGGAACTCAGCGATGAGTAAAATTTGTCTCATGGTTTCCTGTGGAAAACCTAAAAAATCTGCCGGAAAATGAGAAAATTGACGAAAATTTTATTCAGTCTCGGAGTAGTACCAATAGACTGAGTGAATCCAATATTTACTTTTCTCAAATTCGGGAATTTTTCCCTGGAAAGTCCTGGGAAAACATGAGGCAAAATAACTCATCGCTGAGTTCCTGCACTTTTGGCGATTATGAGTGAACTAAACTCAAATTTGGGTTGTTCTCATTCGCCGTGTACAACTTTGCCTCAGACGTCATTTCGATCACGTCACGGTTTCGTGTTATAATTTTTAAGGGAAGTAAAGCCGTTGGTCCCGGCCCAGGTGTGTTAAATGGGTGAGATATCCTACGCAGGTGTGGAAGCTGCCTTCCTGCACATTTGATTGCCGGCAATGGATGGCAATCGATGTCCGTCGGTGATTGGCACTAGATTGAGATTATCTTAACTCTTTCCGTTTTTGAATTGTTTGTTCTGAAAAAGGCTTTTTGTTTTTCAAATGGTGTTTTTTTTTCTTCTTCTGGTGTCCTTTTGATCGTTTGGGACGGCTACCGTGTAGCTGATGAAAAAATAGTGATTATTGGTAGCTATAATTTTAAAAGTTTGTTTGTGACATTCAATTCTGAATCATGCTATTATTACTTACCTACATCAGTAAGTATAGGCCGATGGTTAGAGAAACAGGTGATGAATACTTTACATCTAAGATCTGAAATATGTAGCGCAAAGTTCGTGAGTGGTCGGAACAAACGTGTTTGCTCTTAGTTCTTTTAATTATTCGAAAATCTACTATCTTGAATCCTTCTGTATTTGAATTGGTGGCCCTGAAAAGGGCTGTTTGTTTGTTGGGCAAATCCACTCGCCCGAACCTGATACATAGATGACATTGCTTCACGACGCCGATGATGTAACGCACAACGCACTTAACGATGGTGGCCCACAGCGTTGGGTCTCATGACACATCTGTGGCCGATCAGAAGTGATGCAACGTTTTTACTACGGGCTGGAGCGTTCCTACCAGACCAAGACGTGCTCCGGCCAGCACTGAATTGGATTGTTGTGAAAGAACAACTAGCGTCACTTGGCTCTTTCACATCAGCGCAAGTCGATGCCGACCAGATGACGGTGGCCCAGTCATGCGCCTATTGTGGGAAACCTTCCCTTCGATCGATGTGGATGCATTCGTCGTCGTCTTAGTATTGGTGCGATACGTGCTGTTCCACTGTACTGTACGTCGTGTCCGACGCTTATCCGTCCGTTGTTCGACAGTAAATGACGAAGAAAACGATTTGGCAAGCGTTGTTATTACCGCTGCTGTTCTCCTTCCTTCCCCTGGTGAAATGGTGAGCGGTCAACCGAGCATTGAGCTCGCTCATGTGAGCATGCGCAATGTGTCGTGTGTTCGATTTGCCTGAATTTTGATTTTTTTTTTAATGTGACCCCCAGTATAGAAATTAAAGGCGTAGTCCTACTTCAAAATTCCCCCCATATGAATGTGGTCCAGTCTAATGCTGATGTGTTATTTTCTGACTATATATGTAAATTTTTTGTCAAACTTTTACGAAAACTGTTTCTTCAAAAGTTTTGTCAATTTTCGTTAAAAATGGCCAACACTGTCCATTAAAAATGGTGACCATTTCCAATAGCAATATGTGTTCAAATATCTGGCTATTCTTATTAGTAAGCGGGATCAATTACGTTGATTTTTTAATTAATTTCGATAGAAGCTGTGATTGATTTTGTTAAAGATTGTGATTAATTTCATTCGAATCAGTGTTCACTCGGCTGTCGATAGAAGCAGTCATGCGATCATCTATTTACTCGGCAGCAACCATTGTGTGGTCCTCCTAATTGTTCTTCATCAGCACTTCCTTCGGTCGATGCGTCGTCGACTTTGGAAAGCAACCGTTTCGTGATGAGTCTGTGAGTGATGACCACGTTTTGCGTCGATTGCTGCAATGGAAGCGCTCTGCCACCCGTTGGCAATACTGCCATACAATGAAACCACTGGAAGCGAATCCCGTTCTGATGGAGGAGGCTTATTGAATAGCGGAAGATAAAGTGTTTATTGTGTGGTACCTTTTAACTATAGTTAACGTGCTAGATCACGTATGATCTGATGAGTTCTTCTCAGACAGGTTTCTCTGAACCTTTCCAGGATAAAAACTCTCCGTTCTTCTAATGTCTGAATTCCAGCCAGGAGGTGGATCTCAGAATTTCTAGTTCACGGGGGACTGTTTAGGATCATCCTAAGGATCTTATTCTGGATCCTTTGGAGTTTGAGGTGATGGCATTTGTTGCAACTCTCCCAGATTGGCATACCGTTACCGATTACGGGAAGGATGATTTGTTTGTGCACAGCAAGCTAATTTTTCAGGGACAGGGTAGACCTCCTGTTGATGAGTGGATACAGGGATCTTATCAGGATGTGCTCCCTGAAAATCAGCTTGCTGTCTAGTGTTAAGCCGAGGCAGATCTTATGATTTAGAGTGTGAAAAGATGATGACCTGGGTCTTTGCCACGTTGATACGGATCTTCCAGTTGTTCTAATATTCAGACAGGACGTCCAGGCCTATCTGAAGTTTGGCAGTCAGAGACAACGATCCACCATTAAGGAGAGCCGGCATTGCGTAGGTGTACAGGTTGAATAAAATGCGGCCAAGGATGCTTCCTTGTGGAACCCCGGCACCGATGATGAAAGCAACCGATGTGATGCCATTCAGAGAGACTCGGAACGTCCTGTCCGATACATAGTTATTTATTACCTTCACTAGGAAGATTGGAAGACCTTACTGCTGCAATTTGAACACCAGGCCATCATATCAGACATTGTCGAATGCCTTTTCAACGTCCAACAACGCCATGGCAGATGTTTTCGACACAGACTTGTTCCGTCTGAGAATGTTTGTTACTCGAGTCAGCTGGTGGACGGTCAAACTGTTCCTCAAGTAACATGAGCACAGGCGCGATGACACTGGTCTTATATAGTTGCTGCTGGTTGACCGCAACCACGTAATTGATTAATTTCATGATCCAGTCATCTTTAAGCACGTTGTGGTGCGTCAATTTTGCTCACGCGGGTTTTGTGTCTGGCAAAATTATCAAAATTAACTCATAAGGGGAAATATTGTTGTCGCCCTGGAAAGGACAGTTTTGATTTGATGCGTCAACCGTGTCGTGACCGGACCGAGGTTTCCAGCCAATGAGATTCCGTTTACATAGGTCTATCGCGCTCACGCTTACTGTATTCCACACTAACTCTATTTACTACACACCGGTCCGCATGTCGATCGATATGAACACGTCCGAAGTTCCAACGGAAATGCGGCTTCGGCTTGTTTCGTTTGGGACCAACTATGTGATGGCTGTGTTAGGAAAGACACCTTATGGTCTAAGCATATGTATGAAACATTTTGATGCTACCAATTTTAGTTAAATTTCTTAACTGTTTAACTATTTTCATTATTTATACTATATGCCACAAAATTGCTGAATGAAGGCCCCGTCGAATGGCATACTGCATGACATATTTCACATTAATGCTTTGGAGAAATATGCGTTCAAAACCTGACCCTTTTCGTTACATGTTCATTTTTCGTACTCGCATATAGAAAAGTCAAAAAAATAAATATAGTCTGAACATTTGAACTTCTAAACGTTTTTGTAGGAAGTTATAGTACACAGCAAAAATTTTTGCATTTATTCACGTAAACTTGTATTTCAATTCACGCAAACGAGCAACTCATGAAATGTCTCAGAACTTTACATTATTCATAATGTAAACTTATTTGATATGTGACGCTCCTTTTATGTGCATCATTGAATCTCTTTAAAAAAATCTGAATTACGTATCTTCACAAAATCAAGCAATAAGTTTCCAAACAATTTAAACATCTTCCTGATAATAATACTTAATACTTAAAAAAACTGAAATTCATTGCTTTTTGTGTAAATCGAAGTGAGAGTCGAGGAGTAGGAGTCGGAGTCGATTATTTTCAAATCAGTGGAGTAAGAGTCGGTCTATTTAGCCCTGTTCAAATGATAATGTTTTTCGATAAAAGGAATTTCATTCAAATGCAAGTTGTGTCGAGTTTATGTTTTTACTGCATTATTCTCTATTTTGATGAAAAATCTTGCTCATTTTTTATAATTTCGTAGCAACACTCATCGAAGGCGACGAAGGTGAACTCTATTACGGCGACGAAGATGAAGAGTACGACTACGAGCAAGAAGAGTACGGCGAAGAGCTAGAAGAAATCGAAGAAGAGGAAGAGGAAGAATTTGACGAGGAAGAAAAAAAACTTGAAGAACAGGAGCATTACAGAATCGGTTCCTTTGTACCGACTACTTTCGAAGAGTTCAGTTCCATGTATCGTGCACCTTCTGGCATGCAGACTAACGAGTCCATTCCAATACCTTCGGAAACGCTTGCTCCAGAACAAACGATTGCGGCATCTCCTACAGCACCTCCGGAAATATTTAAGAATGATTCACCGAAAAGCGTTCACAAGGAATCCCCCCTGATGAAGGAGAAACCTCCAAAGGGAGCCCTGAATAAGCTGATCTACGGACTCCACAAGGAACCATTGATTACAGCCGAAGATTTCCAGCAACCGATGGAGCAAGGTGAGACTCAAAGTGTCCCTACGGCAATGCATTCGGACATTCATTCACCACCCTATTATGAACCTGCCCAAGACCCTAGATCCAAACCCTCCGCATCAGAACTTAGTACTGCAAGCATTAAAATTCTTACCACTACCATTACCCCTGATCCTGAACCTGAACCGGCCATTGAAGCAGCCCAAGCATCCACGAGTCAATCTGCGCGAGAGAAACATGTGGAATTCTTGCTTCCTGAAGATACACCGGAAGTTCTGTTACCCGAAGAGGATCTGCCAACGGATGAACCCGAAGAGGTGATCGACAATGGCAGCAAGGAAAACTTGTTCATTCCATATGACGAAGGAGATGCCGACGAGTTGTACGAAGATGATTTGATCTATGAGGACGAGGAAGAGCTGAATTCGGTACTATTGCGACAGTATGCGTCCGATGAAGAGGAAGAGCCATTTTCAGATGACGATGTATCGGATATAGATGATTCGGAGTTGATGAAACGGCTCGAAGAAAAGTATGGCAAATTGGAGGTGAAGAAAGATCCCGAAGTGCAACCCCAAGAAGACGACGATGAAGACAGCTGGACAAGTATATCTTCGCATAGACTAGTCGATAGTAGAGTAGACGGTGCACGAGTGCCATCATTTTGAGTCATCCTTCTTTATGTCATCGTAGCAATTACCTATACACTCATTGATAAAATCATCACCTCTTTGGCATTTACAATGTGATTCTGTAGTAAAGAGTGTGTAGTACGGGAAAATATTTTCTTTTTGTTTCTGTTATTCTCTGAGGAAGTTTGTCGAAATTTCTGATTGATGTTCTTTTTTGTACTATTTCCGTAGAGATTCCCTCTAGGCCTAGTGAGTCTCAGACCTACGAGGAAGAACTGAATCGAGCGAGAAGACATCTCGATGAGGTAAGTTTTGTTGAACTATATATTAACATTCCATGAGATTCAATGTGCTAAAAGAAAATCTTTTTTTTTTGTTGAATACTTTCCCAGGAATTCGGGTTCGAATAAGTTAGTTTACCTTTATCTTAAAGCTCAGTAATAAGAAATCAGCATAGAAAACACAAATACAGACACCTAAGTAAAAGAAATACACAGAGACAAACGTACTTACCGTTTTTAGTACACATTAAGACTTGATTGATTTGTAAGACATTTTAAAATGCCGCTATAAGGCTTAAGAAAACTTAAAAAAAAACAACTGACAACGGACCCAATGACCTAACACGTTGTACTACAATTTTTAGAACAGGTTGTGATGCTCATCTTATCTAATTTGTAGCTCAAGAAATAATACTGAAGAGAATGCGTTTGCCTTTCGATAACAACTTTACACCAAAGAATATCGTAAAAACATTGCACCGATCTGTGATTATCATGTTTAGTTATATTTTTTTTTTTTTAATTTTGTTTAACCTTCCCGAAAGATCAGGAAGTACTAACCTCAATTTTTCTTCACCCACACAAGATGGCGGATTATTCCAAAATTCTCAAATAATTCGCCATTCGAATTGTAAAGATTGAGCTTACTATTTCACCTCCCGAACTAATCTGATTTTTCCAATTAAACTAACCAAAGCCAGCAAAATGTGTGATTGAAATTTTCATTTTCTTTTGCATTTTCCTAACCTCAACGCTTTGGGTGTGATTTGCGCTAACCTCATTCATCAATCGGACGAATACACACGCACGCACGCACACACAAACACTACTGAATACCGTACGTGACAATCGGTAGCTGAAGAATCCCAAGCGAGCATTGGAAGAATATGAATTGCTACTTCAGAAGCAGCGGCGCCTAGTTCCGGCTCTGGTTGGCAAGGCACGTGCCCTGGATGCCCTGGCCGAACAGCAGAAAAGCAATGCACTCCTGGGTGAGGCGATCGACGCGTACCAGGATGTCGTATTCCTCGGTGATTCCGTAGATGACGAGACGGTTAAACGTGCAGCCGAACGATGCATCGATCGGTCCCGTTTCCGAGGACAGTATCTAAAAGTAGTCGAAGTGCATCGGGAACTGATTCGGCGGTTCGATTCCGAACCCAAGTATAGGAATCAGCTGGCAGTTACCTATCTACTATCGAATAGGTTAGTCAAAACGGGTTTAACGGTGACGTCGTTCTAATCGGGGAATCCTTATTTCTAGGTTAGCAGAAGCTAAGGCAGTCCTGCACGAAACTTTGATGCGCTGGATAGATGATGGGTTTGCTTTGGTCCATTATGGATTTGTACTGAAAAATCACGATAAGAACATGGAGCAAGCAGTGCAATATCTCCGGGAGGGTATCGAAACAGGACACGAAGGAACACAGGACGGACGATTCTATTTTCACCTGGGAGATGCACTGCAACGATTAGGACGTCAGGAAGAGGCCCTTAACGTGTATCGAGATGGGGCCGAAAAGAAGTTGTTCCTCTCGATGTATCAACGATCATTGTATAACGTTGATAGTCTCAAGACACGTCCATTTTGGACTATCGAGCAGACCACCTTCTCTAGTCAGCTGGAGCTTATCCGATCCCAGTGGACTGCCATTCGAGACGAAGGTCTCAAGCTGCTAAATTCAGCGGGGAATTTCAAAGACGAAGCTGAGAATCTCCGGGATACTGGCGATTGGAAGCAGTTTGAACTGTTCTTCCGGGGTCAACGAATAGACAGAAATTGTGCAAAAGCTCCGCTCACTTGCCGCCTGGTGGAACAATTTACGGCGGCGCGATCCTGCAAGCGGGGTCAGGTGAAGTTTAGTGTGATGCATCCGGGGACGCATGTGTGGCCTCACTGTGGACCAACGAACTGCCGAATACGAGCGCATCTTGGACTGAAGGTGCCGAGTGGCACGTCTATTCGTGTCGCAGATGAAACGAGGTAAGCTATACTGCACAGTTCGTAAAAGTTCATTTCTGTTATATGGCATATAATGCTCTACGTTCCAACGATGAAACATTCCGAATATTGTATGAAAACGATCAACTTGCTAACCAATTTGCAAGCTATAATTCTCGGAAGTGTCTAGTTAGTTATGTTAAAACATGTCGAGCACTAAACCAAAATCACATTTTCACTATTTTAGTAATAGCACAGACAAACAGACGTAACTCTTCATTGTGTATCTTCGTTCATGCATTTAAAGGTTGATTTGAATATTATCAGTTCCGCGAACTACTCGCCGCAGCGCTGGCATCGGATCAGTTTGACGTTTCTATATATTCTATAGAAATTTTATGCAATATTGTTTACGAGTTAGCGAGCAAGCTTGTTTTCCGCGAGAAGCCAGATAGATGTCGCTACTGATGTTATATGTTTTGCAGATACTATGTTTTCAAGAACAAGTTTTTCAAAGAGTTACGTCTGTTTGTTTGTGGTAATAGGTATCTTCGGTAATTTTCAACGGATTTCTTATGCTTCAATCTCGTTGAAAAGGATATTAGTTCCTCTTTCTTATGGTTCAATTGGTCATGTTACATGGTCCTTGATACGATTGTAAGTTCAATTTTTGTCGAGTCTGTAGACAAGCCGTTTTGGCAAGTTAAAACTGACAGTTGGGAAAACCTAACTTTTTGTTCATTGTCTTCTAGCCTTTTTTTCATATAGTGCTGTTAACAAGTTCTTATGGCAATTTTTATCAGCTACAACTTTGCAGAAAATCATTTTTCAGCCAAACGTCAAATTAAATAGTTATTAATTGTTTAAGAGGTTGATAATGGCAAGATTAAGCAACTGTATTGTGAGCATGTTTTTTGTCCTCTATTCTACGCGCCATAAACACCAATGTTGCCTGCTGAACAGTTGATTGAGCATAATTATAAAACATCAGTGACTTGAATCTTTAATAATTTTTGTTCCTTACATTATATCGAAAAGTAGTCTTGAACAAAGTTGTAGCTATCATTTTCTAAAGTAGAGTGCACTGGTGAATTATGAGATTGATATGAACCGAAATTATGGTTTCCCCATAGTAATTTCCATATAAACTTCAAATGGTTTGTGCCAAGTCAGTTTCTTATCAAATGAGTTTAAATTTTCGGAGGCTAATCAGGACCTGATTTGAAGCCGTTTGAGCACTGTGCAGCGAAAATTTCAAATTTTGCATCAGTCTAATGACAACCTTACCATCACGGTTAATTTTTACTTTTCACCATATTCGAGTTTCTGCATCCTTAATGACGACCACATGATTATGAAGTATGTAGACAAAGTTTCGGAGAAACAGGGAAATTATAAAGCTATTTTAGAATCAGGGATAACATTTTAGCTTACACGCAGAAAAATGGATTTTTGTTTCAGTGCCTAATGTATTTTGTTATTGATTCAAACATATTGTATCACTATTTCAACGAAACATATTTTTGAATCAACAAAATGGTTTTTAGAACCAACAAACAGATTATTGACTCTACAACCGGTTTGTTGATTCAAAAATATTTTTCTTTGAATTAACCGAATAATATATTTGAATCAATACCAAAAATATATTAGGCCCTGAGCCAAAAATATATCCATTTGAATTTAAAAATCATTTCTCTGTGTGTTTGTTTCGATAATATTCAACAAATCCAGCAATAATTTTTTTAAAATATTTGTTTTATGAACAATTCACTAAATGAGTATACGCCACATTGTCATCTCACGGTAAAACAGGTAGCTTGACCAAAACAGGTAGCATAGAAATTACCTTTCCAACGGTATAAAAACATTAGAAAAATTAAAATACAAATAAATAAAATAAATAGATTTTACCTGCATATTGTCTTCTCATGTTTTCGAAGCTTACTTAAGCTTAAAATTGTTTGCACTCCCCTTTTTAATATTAAATTGGTTGAAATCAGATAAGAAAGATTACAGCAAAAACAAAACACGTCAGTTGTTCAGCGCGGCCTACTTTGTTTGTTTTGCCAGTCTTCTGATGTGCTTGTTGTCATCGTTGTCATATTATTCAATATTGAGCCACATTGATTATTCAGAAACTGTCTTTCTTAACTTTCTGAATACGGATTCAAGGATTTTACTTGGAATTCAATTAGTAAGAAGGGACAAATATGGTATAAGGTGGATAAAGTCAGCTTTGTAATTTGAAATTACACTTTAACCAAAAGAGGAATCGCATTCGCAATAGCCATTGGTTCAGTAATTTCTCTTATACCAGGTCAGCAGAAGCACAAATTTACGTACAACTTCAAACGGAAAGGTTTCTGCGATTTTAAATGATTCATCATCAAATCAAATACATCAACATCTAACAATATTTCCCTCTCTATTCCAGATCCTGGGAAAACGGCAAGTGGGTCATCTTTGATGACAGCTTCGAGCACGAAGTTTGGCACAACGGCACCAGCGCTCGGTTGGTGCTGATTGTCGACTTTTGGCACCCGGATCTGACGGAATCTCAGCGAAAGTCACTATCGCCGATCTAAACCTGCTAGGTACGTACCATTTCCCCTTCCTTAAGCTATAAGCGGTGCAACTCTCACCAAAGACGTTAGATTTTACATGACCTGAGGAGGTGTCGAGAAGCAATTGTATCAAATAGAAATGTGCATTTTTTTACTAGAATTTTGCTGCTTTATTTTATGTTTTGATTTACTGAACCAGAGACTTCAAACATTGAGTGAGATGAGGAAATATGATCAAAATGAGTTATCTGTATATTTTTAATCGAACAGTGATAGTTGATAGGAGTTTGTTGACGATATACCAGGACAGACTACGAGTTTAATCGTGAGGACAATCGAAGACTTTTGTGAAAGTCAAATATCGTATTAAGAGTTTTAATACAAATTCGTTTTAAAAGTTGGGTTCATTTCCGTGCTCAAAAACGATCCGAAATCCTTGTCGTGGTGGTTGTTTAGCAGGTCGAATAGAATTCAGTCCAGAACTTGATCATTTCTTCATCAAATCCTGTCACTTCATTCAGCTGGTATGGTAGCTCGTGATCTTCCGAGTTGGTGTATTCGAGAATAGAACATGGATTTTGTTGGCAGTTTCGAATCTTCAACCTGAAGCGTTATGGAATTATATGATTTTGTTGTTGCCGCAATTGGATATTTATTACTGTACTTACCCATCGTAAGCAAAGCGAACATATTCATCGACTAATTTTTCGGCCATTGAGTATTCGTGGGAGTTCAACTTAAAATCGGGGAAAAGATCCTTGGCTCTAAACAGGTAGAGTAGATCGTCTGAATGGCATACTCCGAAATTTTCGTCGGTCTTGGAGAAATATTTCGAATGCGAGTAACGTCCAGCGAAACTGAAGATACGTACATCGATGGGGCTCTTATTAGGCTTTTTGAGAGCAATGTGTTGTAGAACACCTTGTGCTAAGGAGTAAGTGATGTAGGATTCACTGAAAATCTTGAATTGGATGATGGTTAGAGTTATTGGCGGTGTTTATTTGGAATTTGCTTACATCTTGGATGTGATGTTTATTGTTTTCGGTAATCCATCGGTCCTCGGATCCGTCAGAGAAGTAATGCTCTTTCAGCAATTGTCGGGCTTTCTCACTGTCTGTGCACCCCAGAATACGGAGCAGATAGGAACCTGCATTTTCATTCAATTGGTCCAGTAGAGTTTGATTAGCGATGAGAGCCAGCGATGCGAAGGCTCCCTCGTTTGGAACGAATGACGCGGTCCAAGGTACTTGAAGGTAATCACCCCTAGCCCAAAGTACACGCTGATCTTCACTGATGAAGGTTTCGTTATCCACATACCGTTCAACCACTGGACGGTATGGGACCAGCGGGAAAACGTGCCAGAACTAGGAAGTAGAACTTTTGATTAGTCTTGCTGAAACTTGAAAATTCTTTTGCACATCGATTACCTTGAGTTTGTCGATACTTTTGCCAAGCTTTACAGCGTCGACCTGTCGCAATGCCGCAACCAATTCTTCCGAAGACATACTCTCAGCTGAAGCTATTCCAACTGCCATGGCTTGCTCGCGAGCAATGCTCAGTGGATTCTCATTGGGCTTTGTCCAAAATCCCAGCGCACTTCCACTCAAGCTCCAAGCACGGGCAAACAAACCCTTACTCAACGGACTCACCATCTGCATCTGTACGGAGGCTCCGCCAGCACTTTGACCGAATAGGGTCACCAATTCCGCATCCCCGCCAAACTGATTCACATTCTTCTGAACCCATCTCAGTACAGCATTCTGATCTTTGAGTCCGAAATTCCCCGTAGCTGCCTGATCTCCGGTCGACAGAAAGCCGAAAACACCCAGTCGGTATTGCATCACCACCAGAACGACTTCCTCGGTATCCATGAACCTATCCGGTCCGAATTCTCCTTTCGATGCTGATCCGGAAAAATATCCGCCGCCATGAATGTAGACCATTACTGCTAGCTTGGCGTGCTTGGGGTGTTTCGGTTTGTACACATTTATGTAAAGGCAATCTTCGTCTCCTTCCACCTCCTGATCGATCCACAGATCATTCTTCTGGACACATTTGCTGCGTTCGAATGTGGCATCGTAGTCTCCGGTCCACGTTTCTATCGGCTGTGGATTTTTGAAGCGGAGCTCCCCTTTCGGTGGTTTGGCGTAAGGAACGCCCAGGAATGCTTCGTATAGCTTACCCTTTTGACTGTGGAAGTCCTTTCCCAGGAGGCATCCGTCCTCGATGCAAATTCGTGGTCCAGAAGTATCGGATGTTGAAACGAGTATCACGGTGATGCTCAGCAGGAATGAAATCCTGAGCAGTAACATTTTCCTTCCAAAGTGTTCGACTGCAACGACTGAAATAAGATAGAATTTGTTTTCGGTTACTTTTATATTACTAATGATTAGGAAGAAGTGTATTTGCACCGTTGATGACCTTTCTGCCCCTTTCTTATTTGATTTGTTTGATGGATGGGTCGTAATCAGGTAGTCTTCTCTGGTCTAATCAGGATGTTAGCTATTGAGCATTTCAACTAGGAAATTTATGGAAATATACTCTATTAGCATTTGTTTATTAACTTTATAAATTTTCAAGTTTTCAGGTTTTCGCAGACAAACAAATCTTTATAAGGTTTCATTAGATCTAGGTCATCAATCTAGTAATACAATTTGTTGTTTCATAATACATAGTTATATTTGGCCCCTGAAGCGGTTACACTATCGCTGTTTATTAGTTTTTAAAATATTCTCTAATTCTTATCTACTAAATTGTGTCGAATCTGAATAACTATATGTGAAATTATGATTTTTATTCTAAACTGTTTGCGATCTTACACAAGAGAAGATTTATTAAGAATTTTATGAATATTCCTGCAAAGGGTTTGAATGATATTTAAGCCTAAATAAGCATAAGAGGTTCAGTCTTGAATGTAATTTAAAATGTAATTTAACTTCCAACTAAATCCCTTGCAATCGGTAGTACTCTCTCCAGAACTGAATCATGTCCTCGTCGAATCCGTTGACCAGATTCAATTCAACTGGCGCCCTTGGATTATCCGAGTTGGCAAACTCCAGCAACTGGCAATCGTTCAGCTTACAGTATGGCCCGGATATTCTGCAAACCAAAGCGGTTATGAATGATTTACAATCCTAATTCTACATCATATTACCCATCGTAAGCCAGTTTGACAAAGTAATCCACCAAACCCTTTGCCATGATCAGCTCCGGTGTTCCATTTTGATAATCCCCTACCATTGCACTGTTTCGGAAAAGGTACAGCAGCTCATCTGAATGGCAAACTCCAAAATCGGCTGAAGTATACGTATAAACGTACGACTGTGAGAACCGTCCCCGGAAATTGAAGTAGTACACACTGATCGGTGCTTTTCTGGAGTTCTTCAAAGCTAAATGTTGCTTCACACTCAGCGCTACTCCATAAGTGATGGTTGATTCTGTAAGAAGCTGATTCGAAAAATGTCAATCACCAATACTTGCACACCAAACCTCTTCCGAAGCATATACACTTACATCTTGAAGATTCATATAATTCTCCTTCGTCAACCAGCGTTCCTCGGTACCGTTACTGAAGAAACGATCCTTCAACATCTGCGTACTCTTGGCGTGAGCATCCCCGCCGGCCAATCGAGGTATGAACCTTCGTGACTTTTCATTCAGCTGTTCCAGCAGAGTTACGTTCGTAATGATTCCCAATGAATCAGCAGCTCCATCGTTCGGCAAGAATCCGGTTACCCACGGAACTTGTTCGTACTTCCCAGCTACCCACAATGCTCTTGGTTCTTCTGAAAGGAAGGTTTCGTTGGTCACGTACCGTTCCGCCACAGGTTGGTACAATCCCGTCGGATGGACATGGAAATACTTGAGCCGATCGATGCTCCTGCCCAATTCATAGGCATCCACACAGCGCAGAGCCTCAACCAACTTGTCTGTAGAAATCTTGTAGGCATTGGGAATTCCAACAACGGCAGCCTGTCTCCTGGCCACCCTTGCTTGATCGATGTTATAATTCCAATAGGCGAGTGCCGATCCACTCATACTGACCGCTTTTGAAAATGTCCCTCGACTCAGCGGAGACATCATGTGCATCTGGACTGCAGCACCACCGGCACGTTGTCCCACCAGAAGCACACGCTTTGGATCGCCTCCAAAGTTTTGAATATTGTTCTGCACCCATCGGAGTGCCATACTCTGATCTTTGAGACCGTAGTTGCCCGGGGAACAACTATCGTCCGTGGAAAGGAATCCAAATACTCCTAGTCTGTACTGGATGACAACGACGATGACCTTTCGGGTGTCCATTAGACGTTCGGGGCCATATTCAGCAAACGATGCAGATCCGGATGCATAGCTGCCACCGTGGATGTAGAAGATCACCGGAAGCGGCTGGGTTATGTACTGCAATGATATATTAGTATTTCAGATATGAATTTCTGATAGTTGTAAACTCAGCATCAGCATACTCTACAAATTATCTATAGAAGGCTCTTTGATTCACTCATTTCTCTTAACATTCTTAATTGGGTTCGCTGTATTACCTTCGAAGTCACCAAAGAATTCTCCTGAAATAAAGTTTCCTCAGTATCCTCTACACCCAACCGGGGGGAGGTAAGATTTGCTTGTGGGATTGATCATCAAGTCCATATGCTGTAAAAGGTTTTGTCTTTGGTTTGTTTTCCGTCGATCGTGTTTTCCGTATAGAGTACCAATGCTACCGATGCCAGCTCCCACACCTGGACCCTACCTATCGACCCATCAACTCATGAACCGGGGACCAACGGCTTTACTTCGGCGCCGACTGGGATTGAACCCAGGCCTTTTGGGGTGAGAAACAATCACGCAATCAGCAAACCGGCACCGCTGAAATGTAAAAGCTTTACAAGGCCCTTGTTTTTTTTTTTTAAATCAAAGAAAATTTAAAGGGAAGTATTATAAGGAAAACTTGAAGTGAAACCTGAGGACTCCATTCAAGTAGTTCTGTTGAACTACAGATTTTTTTTTTATTTATTATAGTCACTTTAACGCACTTGGGTCATTCGTGACTTGTCTGGGGGTGAGATTTGATCTCGTGACTTTGGCGTGAGAGGTATGGATGATAACCAATACGCCGGGGTCGCCCCCTGAACTACAGATTCCAGGTGAAACGTAGAATCCCATGGAAATTCTAAGTAGCATTGAAATGAAATTTCTAACAGAATCCAGATGAGGGTTTCAAGGTTATTCCAAAGAGAGTTTCAATATAGTTCTAAGAATTTGCAAGGAAACTCCAAGGTACTTGTGAGTAGAATGCCAAGAGAATAAGGATATTCCAAAGGAATTTCTAAAACGACTTCCATCAAAATTTTGAGGTAAATCCCCAAGGAATTCTAAGGAATAATCCAAAGGAATTTTAATGGAAGGTTTAAAGACGTTTCCAACAAAGCTTTGAAGTAAATTTCAAAGTAATACTTACACCCAACCGGGGGATTAAGATTTGCTTACAATAATGAGGGCTTCATCATCGTAGGATTTTAGCGGAAACCGCACGAACGGAGGTCTGATAAGCGCAACGCTTACTTTACTGGACAAACCTGGAAAAACGAGGCAAATTTACTCACCGCTAAGTTCCTACCCTTTTTGCGATTATGAGTAAACTACAGTTGATAAATCTACCTAGAATACCGTAAAACGGGGTAACATTGATAGTTTTTTGAAGAATTTAAAACATAGTGTTAGTCAAAAATATGATAGCGATGAATGTTTAACAATTTATTTTTTATTTTTAAAACTACTGAGGATCCTAGAGTCTATTGGTCAGTAATATGTTTAACGGAAATTATTGCATTTGTACTATTTTTTTAGTCTGGTGATCGACCATTAGAATTTTGATTTGGGGTTATTTTGATAATGCTCCATGAATGTTGAAAAACATGCGTGAAATGCAAATAATTTTGTACAAGAAATATGAAACTTTGAATAAATTAATGAAAATGCTGAGGTTTTGACAGAAGTGTGCTGTGGCTACCACAGTATTTTACATTTGACCGTCCATATACAGTAGCGTCAAAAGCATGTTGTGCTGGGTTCAAAACTTGACCATCTAAATTGATCAATTAGTATATAATCAGAAGCATCATAACCAATAAGAAGACGCCGTCATTGAATTTTTGATGGCTATATCGGAAATAAATTTCACAAGTGATTGTTTGAGAGCTTTTTCAAACAGGCGAAAAACAAGAAAATTGTTTATAATATGTTTGGAACATATATGTAACACATACTGATGATATGATGATAGTGGTTTACCACACATTGTAGCACGGAAACTCAGTCCGACAGCAGTGGGCCCTCTTCTCTGTTTGTCTTGATCAAGCTTAATAACCTCTGATTGTCCTCAATATGTCGCTGTATGAAGGGCCAAAAACGGATTGGGGATTTTAGGCAAAGTCAGAACAGAACAATAAAGAATCTCCTTCCAGCAACTTGATCAGCCAATTGGTCAAAAAGACAAGCCCCCAAACAGGAAGATGCCCCAATGAGTGGGGAGAAGAGCCCGCCCTTTATCCACAAAATGTTATCAACAGGGAGTTGGCATTCCCATTCTCCCCGTCCAAATCGCTTCAATCGGGTGCCCTGTTACCCTTCCCTTTTATATATGTATTTCAATGTATTTTTTTTTTTTTTCCTTTGGTTTGTTTTTTCCGTCGATCTTGTTTTCCGTGCTGAGCACCAATGCTACCGACGTGCCAGGAAGGCAGCTCCCACACCTGGACCCTACCTATCGACCCATCAACTCATGAACCGGGGACCAACGGCTTTACTTCCCATCCGAAGGAAGGCGTGATCAGAGATGTTATGCCTCAGAACATCCCGGTGGCGCCGACTGGGATTGAACCCAGGCCTGCTGGGGTGAGAGGTAATCACGCTTACCACTACACCACCGGCGCCTATTTCAATGTATATACGAGTTGATTGTTATGATTATTGTCAATAACAGGTACTTACATTTCGATGAAGATCGTGCTACTTATTTTACCTTTTTTCTGATACTTATCATAACAGAAACCAATCTTGAATCGTAGACCAGGTTCATCAACAATACACTCGTTCCGAGACGGGGCTCTGTGATAAAGCAATTTTCTTCTTCTTCATCATGTTCGCTCACCACCCGGAATGCTGGGAGATGATCCATTCTGGGATGGCGCTGATGATGTGGAAGTACCGTTGCTGTGTCCATTGGCAGTGTTGCAGTTGCTCCCATTGCTGCTATGGCCGTTGGTATGAGTGACTCCGTTTCCATTCTTAAGATGTCCATTCGACGATGATGTCTTGCTGTGGCCGTTGGGTTTTCCCGAATCCGTGGCGTCGCTTCCGATGGGCAGATTGCTCTTCATGTGGTTCTTGGCTGGTGTGTATGGGCGGTTCACTTCGCTGAACATACGGATGTGCGAGTCCTGACCGACGGCGGCACGGCGTGGCGTTTTCGATCCATTTCCGGCCTTCTGCCCTTCCGGGGCACGAAACGAGCGAAAAAAAAATGACAGCCAAAAATAAACACGTCCACTCACGGCCAAAGCAAACTTCCTCTCTGGAACATATGTAACACATACTATACAAAAACTCTATTCGATATCAAGGACAATACTTCTAATTGGAACCAATGTTTCCAATTCGGAAAAAGTGCAGAAAGTAAATTTAATCATTGCATTCTACTAACAAAGTTACCCGCATTATCAAAGATACTCCGTTTTACGGTACGTTCTTCTTTGTGACTTATGGATTACAAGCACTTAGTATGGTTATATTTCTTTTGCAATTTTGATTTCACATAAGATTCTTCATATCATCGCTTGTATGCTGAAGTGAACATGAAATATGGTCGAGTGATTGTGCAGTAAGGGCCACCCACATTAGATTCGGATCTAATGCGTTGCGGCAAAGGGGTCCTTCGGGGGCATCGGTAAACAATATATTGGAGAAACAACCTTCACATGAATTCTACGCAATTTGGGGATTGCAATGCTCAGTACCAATCACAACGTTCCCGCCTTTCTCAATGACCAATTGGCGTTGACGGCACCGTCGAGAAGTCGTCTCTTCTAGCAAATATTGACAATTTCTTGTGGGAATTTCCAGTGGAGTGAAAGGGTAATACGATGATAACCGCCAACCGTTTCACGCACAGTCTAACCTAGGCTTATGGATTTTACCCGGGAAGGAAGAGGCAGATAGCACACACGGAATTTATTTTATAACTTGTTCTTATTGTCATGAACATTGGTGCCATTGAAATCAAATCACAATAGGCGTAGCAAAATAGCTTGAGCGTGTAGTAATTGTTTCAGATTGTTCAGTGTACAGTGAGAAAATGTACTTTTCTGTTTTGTAGGGTTAACTACCCCATTTTCGGCCTATTAAGCACAACCCGCACTTAGTCTTTCTTAATCTAGCGCAGTTTAGCACCAAACGGAATGTTATTATTACTGATGGCTTCCAAATTTATTTACCTTTCCGTATGTACCAGAAGATTTGATAAAGAGAAACCAATTGTTGAGATATTATCAAAAGTCTAACACTGCTTCTTGACGACAAACTCGGCCTGCAGATTCTAAACTCAGCCTAACGCATTGAAACGCCATTGAAACACCAATGAATTCACTTCGGCCTATCGGATGAAGTTAAAAATTGATTCAGTCGGAGCGCTTCTTTTGTTTTTGGGAATAATGGGTGCAAACCTTCATATCACGCGTTCTCATTGACTTCGTTCCGTAGCTTATTAACTAAAGTATCGTACCAAACGCATAATTGACTTGTTAACTCTGAAATCATGGATTTATTTGAAGTTTTCTACTCGATAGGCCCAAAATGTGTGATTAGGCCGAAGTAGTTCTCTACCCTATTTTGTTATGCTACTAAATATTGGCATCTTTCAATATTGATTTGAGTATATACAATAAATGAATTTAAAAAAAAAATCCTTTAATTGAGATAGTTTGAAACGGCAGACTGTCATAAATTACTTTACACATGATTTCAGTATCATTGTGTGTTCTTTTTCAACTGTAAGAAACTGCTTGGCTCCCAATTCATGAAAGCTTGATTCTGGCTCCTTTTAAAGTTCATATCTTTCGAGTCTGCTTCTCCCACCCACGATTTAATTCTGGTTTATTCTCAGTGGCCGTGTTGTTGCTCCATTTCACTAACCTTCGGTCTGTACAAATTCAAATACAGACAATCCTCGCTTCCTTCCACCAACGAATGCGGTCGGGCATCGTTCTTCTGGACGCACTTGCTCCGTTCGTACGTTGCGTCGTAGTTACCGGTCCACGATTCCACCAGAACAGGATCCTGTGGAGAGTTAAGCACAGATCACTAATTTGCATTTGTCATCACACTGTGGTTTTACACTTGCAACACACTTTGAATCGCAGATTCCCCAGCGGAGGCTTGGCGTATGGAATTCCGAAGAAGGCCTCGAACTGTCCATTTTCAAGTCCATTCTTATTGGTTCCGATGATGCAACCGTTTGGGATGCAAACCAACGGCTTCGGAGGATATTTAGTATACTCGGAAAATTCACTGATCGCAAAGGACACATTATTGGCGGCGAATACCGAGCGCGTAACCGTAGCAACGGTAGTTATAACGACGAGTAGCACGTGATTTAGCGGTGGCGGCAACATCTTCACCACACTTTGGCTAGACGATGAGTAAAGGTTCGCACTAAGGTTGGCGCGGTTTTTATCAGTGATGCCTTTCGGCTTTATGGTCACGCTTGGTGATCTGGTTACGGCTCCGGTTACGCACCTGCAAGGGTGTAGCCAATGTACTACTGAAGCCGCGGTGCAGTTATACATACTGCAAACAAGTATGGCTGGAAATGTAAGCTGTTTGGGTTAGGATGTACTACAGGGCACTAGGGAACTGGTGAATCAAAGTCTGCTACATTGCTATGTATAGGTTGCGACTTGTAACTGGAATGCCACAGAACCGTCAGGAAGTCTGTCTGACAAGGTGTTCAAATTAGTGTACAGATAGATTGTAACTGATGGAGGTGGCTTCGGTGCAGAACAGAAGGTTGTGCGTTCAATCTCATGAGGCTTTTGGAACGTTTACAATTTTGATGATTTGCCAATATCGTTTGCTATCCCCACTACTCTGTTACACTTATGAGAGTTCTCTACATCTTTCGTCAATAAGTGTCTAACCAACAATCCTTCACATTTCTACTAGTTCCAAGGACGTGGCCAAGATTTCGATTGTTGGAAATTGTAACACTTTCATCTAAAAGACCTTTGAGAATCCCGAACAGGTAGTAATGTTGTTGTATCCTCCCGGTCCCGACCTCAACAGGAATTGGGAATTAACCATCGGAACGAATCTCCTCAACTGTGTGTGTGAATATGGAGAGTAGGTTCATTCCTCCTTGCGATATCCTTGTTGGTCTTTGCTTAATTCCGCTTGTATAATCGGCTTCATATCTATCTATCTATCTATATATATAAAAATGAATTTCTGTCTGTCTGTCTGTCTGTCTGTCTGACCCTTATAGACTCGGAAACTACTGAACCGATTGGCGTGAAAATTTGTATACAGGGGTTTTTGGGGCCGTGGAAGGTTCTTATGATGGTTCGAGACCCCTCCCCCTTCTGTAAGGGGGGGGGCTCCCATACAAATGAAACAGAAATTTCTGCATAACTCGAGAACTAATCAAGCAAATGGAACCAAATTAGGCATGTGGGGGCGAGTGTGGGGGTATAAAGAGATAATCATAGGGGGTAGCCCCTTAGATAATAGGGGGGGGGGGGGCTACGTACAATATAGCATGCTTTTTTTTTAAATCGGCGCATAAACTCAAGCTAATATTGAATCCCGAGCAAGACCGGGCACACTCAGCTAGTTGTTTATAAAAATAGTACCTAAATATTAGTACACGCAAATCATTATTATATCCAATGTTAGATGCATTTCCTATCATCCTACGCATGTGGTCTCCACTAACATCCTGCGCTGATGAATCCCACAATATTGTAAGCAAAACTTACATCCCCCGGTTGGGTGTATATTAGCTGTTTAGATGCGATGGATTTTTCAGTGGTGCTTGGCACTGGGGATGTCTACAAGTAGTGGACGAAATACGCGTATATGTCAAAAGATAAGCAATTAAAAGGAAATAAGTTAACCCACTCAAAAGCTCTTCATAAGGAATGCCGTTAAGAGGTTCGACAAAATTAAAAAAAAAAAGAAATTATGACAAATTATACAAAACGGTCTACATCTGATTGACGGCGATAAATAAATAAATAAATTAATAAATAAGTTGACAAGAATTCTTCTTAGTTGTTGATATCAGTGGGAGCAATGATATTCAGTGGGATACTAATCCAAGACAGGGTTGAATTGTTAGGTGTCACACTGCAACCCTTTTAGGGTGCTTCGAATGATTTTAAATTGTTCTTAATTAATTTGTGTTTCTTTCTTATTTATTCAGATCAATACTTTTACTATTATCTCGCATGTGGCATCTGGTGAGGGGGGGGGGGGGGACAATCAAAAATAAATAATACTTGAAATAAGGAGTCAAATCAAAACGTAAGACTATAATTCAACCCTTTTGCATTATTGTTTAGCATGGGATCCACTTTCATGCTTCTCAACCGAGGTAAAACATCAGCTCCAAATCAATTTTTCCGAATTTTCAAATGCGTTGATATCTTTCAAAATTTGAAAATTTGGTAAACTGCAAGACTGTAACAAATATAAGAATTCTCTAAATTCAGAAAATTGTATCAATTTAAAAATTTTAGCGAATTAGATATTTTTTTAATGTGGTTGAAAAACTATTTATTGATGTTTCGGTATAGTTTTGGACATTATTAGCAGAGCCGGTATGAAGTTTGAGTATTTTGAACTTTTTTGTTGGTAATCTTCGAAAAATAAAATTATGCAACTAATTTGCAAAAATGGCATAATGTCTTTATTATAGCTACGAATGAGTAAAATTTCAAAATATTTGATTCATTGTATCTCAAGAAAACGTGTTATTGATATTGAACCTACTGCCAATTAATTTGTTTTGAACAATTCTAAATTTAAGGCTAAGGATGCTCATTATGACTCAAGGGCCACCCACAATAGTCCGTCACCGTCACCGTCACCGTCAGCGTCAACGCATCCGTCATGTACTAAAAAGGCTGACGGACGCATTGACGCAGCGCTTGCGCACAATCATGCGTCACGCATTGCGTTTTGACAGTAGCATAATCTCGTTTTAATCATTTGTTTTGGTAGAAGATTTCATATTTAAAAAATAAGTCCGAACATTCTGAATTTGGGAGGTGATTGGTGAATGGCGAGTTGGATTTGCAAGCACTGGGCAAGTTGCCAGGCTCAAATGAAGTGATGCCGTATTTCATTGTTCCCCCTGGATATGGCCCCGGCTGCATTTCCTTTTAAGAATAACTTGCTCCGGCCATATCCAGATGTTGACCTACCTCCAATTCAAGAGAACTTATATCAACGGCTGTCCAGAGTCAGGAGGGATGGTGATGGGAACGTCAGTGAACTTGGTGAATGGCGTACATTAGTTGATCCTCTGAGATGTATTAACTCTGCGGCCCTTCAGAGAGGCAACAATGCGACACGATCTACGTACGTTAACCGAAATGTGTTGGCCAAACATGTATTCACACAATATTGTTGAAGAATATAAAAAAAAAAACATTGCAATAGTTTAAATTGTCTACAAAGCTATTTCACTAGTTGTATTTTATTGAAAAAAAATCACTGACATTTGTTTGGAAATTGGGGTTGGCCCTTCTTACAAATGCAAATTCCTACTAACAATGTTTTCCATGATGTGTTCAAAGCAACACGGCACAAAATACGCTTCTGATTACGCTGATGTGACAAAACAGCAACATGACGCTGCGTCAATTTTGAAAATTTTCAAAGTTTAGCACAGCGTCAGCGTTTTAGTACTGGCACGCAGTGAGCGCAACGCATCTTTGTGGGTTGCTAAACTGAATAGCGTTGGCTCAAACCAAGTTGTCAGTTGACGCTGACGGTGACGGACTATTGTGGGTGGCCCTTCACCTGTTTACTATGCCCCTTCTTTAATTCCTTGATTTGTTTTCCGTCGATCTTGTGTTTCCGTACTGAAGTACCAATGCTATCGTCGCCAGGGAGGCAGCTCCCACACCTGGACCCTACCTATCGACCCATCAACTCATGGACCGGCGACCACCGGCTTTACTTCGCTGTGATCAGAGATTTTATGCCCTAGAAAATCCCGACGGTTCTGACTGGGATTGAATCCATGTCTTTTGGAGTGAGTGGCAGTCACGCTTACCACTACACCACCGGCGCCGCTTATGCCCCTCCTTCCCCTACGTTTCTTACAACACATGAGTGGTAATACTTACAATGAACTTTATCGTACAAGCAAGTTTTTTTCGTAAAAAACTTTCACGATATGATTTTTATTTATGGAAACAACAGAATCATATACAGTTCATGCAGCGGAACATGACAAATTCTGCAAACTTTTAACGCAAATCGGTAATTGAATCATTTATTGGTTAAGTGAATGAACCATGAAAGTTACCCTCCCGGTTTTTAACCTATCCACATGGACACTACCAAAGTTACAGAATCCAAATTCGCCGAATGTCACCTATCGAAATCAATCGAATTGAATGGTACATAAGATTGGAATAAGGATTTTTTTAAATTGGAATACGGAATTCTTAAATCTTAAAGATTTTAGGATTCTACAAAATTTTCAAGTTCATGCTCAAGTTTGGATAGATACTGAATTTTAGACATTTCATTATCCTGAAGGGAATTTTGATTGCGACTAGAATTTCAGGTGAATTTTTAGGAGAAGTATGCGGTCTTCTTTATTAGGCATTGCTTGAGTGAATGTAAAGCCAATTCTGATGATAAATTGAAGGGATATTATGCTGAAATCTAAAAGAATCGAACACTGAAAGAAATTTTGGCGAAGAAATAATGTTTTCGGAGAGTTTCAAGGATTTGGATAAAAACTCCAGGAAATCAGAAGACAATTTTGAAGAAAATTGAATCATTTTAGGGGATGCAACACAAGCTATGGAAATAGATTTTTAGCAAATTGTTACAAGAATTGTAAAATGAATGCCAAAATTTGTATGGAGGGAATCTGTTCTTTAGACAAATCGTAGAATGTTGTGTTTCTTTCCACTTTGTCTAGCAAATTTAAAAATTGTCTGCTGTTTAATTTTCAACGACATTTCATGAAATTTCTGATACAAACTCGTGCGGGACCATATAGTGCCAATCACCGACAGTCATCGATTGCCATCCATTGACGGCAATCGAATGTGCAGGAAGGCAGCTTCCACACCAGCGTAGGATATCGCACCTATTCAACTCACATGGGCCGGGCTTTACTTCCCTTCGTGACCAGAGATTTTTATGCCTCAGAAAAATCCCACCGACCTCGGCTGGGATTGAACCCAGACCCATTGGGGTGTTAGAATCACTACACCACCGGCGCGGGCTGGTAAATAGTTTAGGAAAATGAAAAAAAAAAAAACTCAAGCAAATATTAAATATCTTCGTGCAGCAAAAGAAACCCTCGACAGATCTGTTCGATTACATTGGTTGAAGATTGAAAATGAAGAGATTTTTCTTCTTCTGTGGGCTAATTACAAAAAAAAGGATCTATTTGCTTATTTTTGCAATGTGTTTGATCTACCTATCATTATATTTTGACGTAGGATTACGTCTTTTGGCAACATATTGGGGGTACAATTTCAATAAACCTAAATCGACCGCGTTACGAAAACTGGTCAGGTTTAACCACTTATAACTCTGTCAATAGCGGATGGATTTTAATTCTAAACAAGCAAATCGATTTACGATTAAAATTACACAAATGTTCAACTATTGCAATGGCATCACCGATTGCCTGCAAAAAGTGCTTTCCCTAACACAGATTTCAAAATCGAATTCCATCCGGTCTTGCTGAACGGTGCTTATTCAATCACCGTGTGTGGTGGTGTCCGGTCGGTCATTATCATCAGCAGCAGCAGCAGTGCCTTCGGCGTGTGGAGTTGAACAGCCCACATGAGCGTCCATTCACCGAAGAAGGAGGAAGAAGCCGCATCGCTACTGATCGGATTCAGTTGCTCGTCGTGAGCCGCTGTGGGCCATCCATGCCAATCGCGTCACCCTCGTTCCAAACAACATACAGCTCGCCAGTCTCATCCGTGTTGAAAACCCTAATAGCTCGGAATTATTTCACCCATCATGACAATACGGTTCTTTTCATGATCATAAATTATTGTTGTTTAATAGTTAATTTTCATTGAACGTTCGCTCGCCTTTCTGCCAGCCACATCACCCCCAAACATGCTTGGCATGCACAGTTGTACACACCAACTGCTCATTTGTTAATAACTTTTCACTTAGTTTACTGTAAATATGCAAAGAGTAGGTAAATCTTATCATTTGAATCTACATCAATGAATTTTTACAGTTAAAGTCCGAGATGTGCAGCGAACATTTCTCACTTCACTTTTGCAACACTAAATCAAATACAGTTTATTACTGGAATTAAAATCTCCTTTTTTTACTTATCTATAACAAGCTTAAACTCTATTCTATCGACTGCTTCAAACAGAACTATGTTTCGTCAAATCTGTGCAAAATTATTAGCAAATGAGCAGTTCGTGAGCAAAACTGTGTATGCCAAGCATGCCCCAAAGTTCTTTGATAATGTACCCGGCAACCAAACGTTTGTGGTCAAATGCATAACAGTATTGAAGTGGAACATAAACATTCTCGCAATGATCGAATACCACATGACCTTGTCAATTAACCAGAAACACCTCGAATTTAAGCAAGGTTTTCTCCAGGACGCTAGAAATAGCAAAAAAAAAATTCAAATTAATATGATTGATGTACTGATATCATATGGGGCCTCCCTTAGCTCAGTCGGTAAAGGTGCTTTGTGCACGAAAATCCGTAAGTTTGTCGTCAGAAAACGAGGCGTTTCCGTGATGGGAAAACGTGCTTTCCCTAATACCCCGTTCACATTACAGCCTATATCACGTAATATAGGCTGTCTTGCAATGAGCACTCATACATAGGATTTCCAGTGAAAACTAGATGTATGAGTGTCCATTGCAAGATAGCGTATATCACGTGATATACGCTGTAATGTGAACGGGGTATAACACAGTCGCCGAATATTGATACCGAGCACGTAATCATACGTCCACTCTAGGAACTTGTCTTGGATACAACCTCTTACTTTTTTTTTCATAGATTAGCATGAGCATGAGCAGGTCCAGAGAATCAACAGATGACTCAAGCGTCATCATCGTCACTATCAATCATTCTTAATGTGTATAAACTGGTGACCTCAAATTTTACAAAAGGTACCAGGGCATGGATTTGGATAAATTCTTTGCACTTTCCCAATTTCTCCCTGTAATGTTGAAAACAAAAAGATTTGGTTGATTAATGTCGAGGAACCTGGGGCTGAACCAACGGTAACCTGCTCAGTATGTAAACACGGTCACCATAAAGTGGACCCTACACGATTGCTTTTATTGACAATAATTGTATTGTCAATACATTCTATATTGACGTCAATTCATCGGTATTGACAATATTTCTGTGTTCACATCATCAATATTATTGTCAATAATTCCCCTTCGCGTCAATATATTGATACGTGTGGGGTTCGCTTAAGGCCACCAACTACTTATGATTGAGTTGTGGTTTGCATTCAAACCAAGCAACGGTGACGATACGCTAATTTGAAGGGCTGGCATTATGTTAAGAAAAAAAGCGATACTACATTAACGATCTTCTGTTCAGTAAGCAAAGAAGGTTACCATTAGGCCACCGAGCCCCTTACATTGCAATGCACCGCGTATGATCGAGTTGTTCTGGTCTTGTAAGTAGGGAGGCGAATCAAATATGTCGTCTAAGATTTTTTCGTTGTTTTAACCCCTCTCCCTGTGTCTTGTGTTTTCCCATACTTATTAAACGTTCTTTAACGCGCTCTTCTCCCCCTCAAGACTAGACACATTTGAATCGCCCCATTGTCACACAAAACTAAGTATCAGCCGCGAAAAACGGTAGTAAGAAGCCACATGGAACGACCTCCATGAAAGAACTCTACACTCAACCGGGAAAACAAAACTCATCACATTCTTTTCATAGATAAATATGGTTTAATTTTATATTATTATTATTCGATCATCAACCTGTTCGGTTCAATAGTTCTGTAAAGCGTACAAGTTGTACCAAAATGCAAATCGCTTCTCGTTGAACCCTTCCAAAAAATTCATTTGCACTGGATTGCTTGGGTCGTCCGAATTCGTAAACTGCAGCACTGGGCAGCTCTCGTTGGTACACAGTGGTCCAGGCATACTGAAACATTGTTAGAAAATCTCTTTTAATGTCGGGATTACTACGATCAGAAAGGTAAATTTTCATTACCCGCCAGTAGCAAACTGCACATAATAATCGACTAGCATCTTTGCCATGTACCAGGAGGGTGTTTCCGGAACAAAGTCTGGAAACAGAGCTGACGGTCGGAAGAGGTAGTTCAAATCGTCCAAGTGGCAAATGCCATAGTCCGCGAATGTGTAGGTGTAGTAATAGGATTGAGAGAAGCGTCCCTTGAAGTTGAAGTAGTACACACTGAGTGGGGCTTTGGGGGTTGCACTTTTGTAGTGTAGGTACTGCTTGATGCTCAGCACAATGGCGTAGGTTATGTAACCTTCCGAAAGCATCTGAAATTAGAACTTGTTAAATGTTGGATCCAATGGGAATGTACCCAGTATTTACCTCTTGCAATTCGTAGAGGTTGTCATCTGTTAGCCATCGCTCGTTGGAACCATCCGGGAAGAATGTCTCTTTCAACATTTGTACGCTCAAAGGATTGGTGTGGGCTCCAACAAATTGAGGAATTATGACCTTTGAGCGATCATTCATCTCTTCTAGAATGGAATTATTAGCGATCGCGTTAGCGTTGAAAGCTCCTTCATTGGGAACAAATCCCATGACATAAGGAACTTGGTGATACTTCCCAGCAGCCCAAAGATCTCTTGGATCTTCCATCATGAATGTTTCACTATTAACAACCTTTTCAACCACAGGCACATAAGTTGCTAAACTATATACATGGAAAAACTTTAAGCTATCTATGCTTTTCGCCAGTTCGATTGCATCCACCTTTTTCAAAGAATCCACTAGGTCCGCGGTGGATATCTGATGGGCTTCTGGGATACCCACAGCTGCTGCTTGTTTCCGTGCTAGATCTAGAGGATCGTAATTGTAGTGCCAGAATCCGAGTGCACTTCCACTCATACTAACCGCTCTCGAGAAAAGCCCTTTAGTTAATGGAGACATCATGTGCCACTGCACCGCACTGCCACCTGCACTTTGTCCCATAATTGTGACCCTTTTGGGATCCCCGCCAAAATGTTCGATATTTCGTTGAATCCACTTCAGAGCCATCACCTGATCCTTCATACCGTAATTTCCTGGTGAAGCCTCGTCTCCCGTGGCCAGGAATCCAAACACTCCTAATCGATACTGTGCCATTACTAGGATCACTTTTTTCGTATCCATCAACCGTTCGGGACCGAACTCTCCGATTGTCGTTGATCCTGCAGCGTATCCTCCTCCGTGTATGAAAAATATCACCGGAAGTGTTCCTCTAAAGTTCTAAAGGGTGACGAGTGATTATCGATTAATGATTATGGATATAAGGAAGTTGCGACTAATCCTACCTTCGGTCGGTAGACATTTAGATACAAACAGTCCTCGCTGCCTTCGACCGTTGCTTGCGGTCGGAGATCATTCTTCTGGATGCATCGACTTCGCTCCCACGTGGCATCGTAGTCCCCACTCCACGGTTCACTCGGTACCGGATTCTAAGGTATTAAATTTATTCAGTTTATCAAACAACTTCCAACGAACTAAATACTCACCTTGAATCGTAGCTCTCCTATGGGTGGCTTGGCAAACGGAATTCCCAAAAATGCATCGTACTTTCCTGCTTCCAGTCCGTCCAGATCTCGACCATAGAGGCACCCATCCTGGATGCAAAGCCTCGGTGTTGGTGGAAACCTTTCCAGCGCGTACTGTTCTCCGATGGCAAGTGCAATGTCGGCGAAGCCAAATGCCGTTACGGATAGGATCAACCAAGGAGGATACATCGCTTGCTCTGAACAGCTGCTGTAATCGATTGATTAAAGTGATTGCACGAGCGGTGCTGTTATTATATATTGAACGGCTAGAACTGGGCATGGTTCAGTTAACATTCGCTAAAGGTGATCGCTAATGAATAACGGAATTGTATGATTGGTAGCGTTTTTGTTTGATGGAAGGCTACAGCAAGTTACGTTGTTTGTGGATGTGATTTCAAAATTATCCACTTTATTTTGTGATAGATCGATCAATGTTAAAACATGCGTGGTATCCGTGATGCTTCATGTTAACAAGAAATTAAAGCCCTGCGAAACATCGAGGAAGTGCTTTACGATAGTTTAATTAATTTATCCATTCGGGATGAACTACTATAATCAAACCAATCAAGATCAATAGTTGGTGTTCTTGTTGAGCGCACACTCGGATTGTTCTCCGTATCGCGTGGAACTATTCTCTGATACAAAATTCATCATACCAAAATTTCATAATTTTGAAAACTTCATGTACAAATACCAAACATCAATTGACCATAATTATCGTTCTGAAAGTGTGTATAGGTGAAATTTATCGAGATGTACATATTCTAGATATCAATAGAGATTTACTGCCTTGCGATAACAATGAAGCATACGCCAAAATGTACTGCATAGTCACAATTATCACATGTTTACAATCAAAAACATTCGTGGGATCAACACGAACCGTAGAAGCACCCACTTTCAATAATATGAACCTTTTCGCATTTGTTGAAAAATCCATGCGATTGTTTAATTAAACCTTTCGATCTCTCGCTTTTGAACAGATTTTTAGGAAAGCAGTCAAGTTTAGCCAACATGATTCACATGGAGAAAGTAGCCAGAACGGTAACCTCTTTAGGCAAGGATCGTGAAAAATATAGACGGTACATTAATTAATTAATATGAGCGCTGACACTGGAAATGCAGACAGTTGCCATGACAACATTTTTCACCTTGGACATTCTTGAACGAGCAAGGATTCAGGCTCTTTGGTTGATTGATTGGGTTAAAAAAAATTCGTTTTCGAGTTTTTTTTTATTTATTCAAAGGGGGGATGTTTCTCAGAGTCTTAAACTATGTTAATCATTGATCGAGTTTCCATTTGCCGCAATTACGGCCTCTACACGCTTCCGGAATGCACGGCAGGTTTTAATAATGTAGTCTGGATCCATTTCTCTCCAGGTACGGGTCAATGTTTGTCTGAGGCTTGCTGTACTCGGGTGGCGTTTAGAACAGGCTTTGGCCTTCATGACGCGCCATATTCAGTAATCCAGCGGATTAAGATCGGGCTGGATGGCGGCCACATATCCTTCGCCCAGAACGGAAGATGTTCCTGCAACCACTTCTGAGTGCGGCACGGAGCCCCATCTTGTTGAAATACAATATTTGGTTTCGGATCGTACTGTTCTTTGATCCACGGAAGAACATACCTACTTAAAATCCCGATGTAGACCTCCGCGTTGATCTTGTCGCCTTCTGGAATGAACACCGGGTCAATTTTTTGCCATCGGAAGCCACCAATCCAAACACCATAACGCTAGCAGGATGCTTGGTCAGATACACGTTCTTGTGCTCGTCGGCCACGTCTTTTACCGGAAGAGAACTAATATACCGGTCGGTCCTTTCTTTACTCGGTCTAAAACCCTTTTGACTGTCCACCGGGACACTCCCACGGCGATTGAAATGTCTTTTTGCGACATTTGCGCGTGGGACACATCACGAATACGCTGCCACTTCGTAATGGTGCAACTGTCAAACTAAGTAAATCATTTTCTTACACAGCCTACTACGGTATGAGCTATAGGTTACGTGCATGCAAAGAAAACCAAGGCATTGTATGCACAGGTGAAACGGGAACCTTATACGATGGTGCAAACATTATCACGCATACGGTAGGGGCCATGCATTACTTATATCACGCTAGATTGAGGAAAAATTAACCCTCCTCCCCGTTTAGTTATGTTTTTTTCCTATACCTAATGCATTGCTTGTCACAAAATCTTACACCTCCCTTAAGCGTGACATAATATATGCATCACCCCTAAGTGAAATTTGTTACAAACAATGAACAATGAACTATGGACTCCGTAAAGCTATCGTGATTGAGTCTTCCAAATAAACGAACTAGATACAAAAAAAGTAAGTAACTGCGCTTTTCACCTTCCAATCCATCTGAACAACTTTGATGAAGAGCGCAACATTTCACTCAAAATGGTAGAAAGTGGGGTTATTCATAGAGTAGGGTGGAGTTATTCAGTGAGTACAATTTTCCTCGATTTTCTTAAAACAACTGCATAAATATTACGAATACCGACAACAAATTTACTCAGCCTACAAGTATACTCATAGAGTTAAAATACGTCAAATTTTCCTCACTCAGTGAGTAATCAGACATTCTACGGTTTTGACTGAAATCCTACTCAATTTTGAGTTAGTTTCAACGGTCGTGTGGTCGTGTGAAGGTAATGAAAATTTATTATTTTTCCATACAAAATGCCCAAATATTGACTTTTTACGAACGGATTCCACAAAGACGTAGTCCTATACACTTATTTTTTTCTACCGAGCTCGGTTGTGCAAATCTCGGCAAAAATAAGTTTCACTGAGATCTCAATAAAAGTGACATTTGATAGCTGAATCTCGGATAATGCTTAGCTGAAGCTCAACAAATAAATGAAATGTTTGCTCAGATCTCAGTAAACTTTTTTTGCCGAGATTTGCACAGCTGAGCTCGGTGGAAAAAAAGTGTGTACGTCAACAATTTGATAATATAATGAAAGAGAAAATAGGTAGTGAAAGAAAATAACTTGATACAAAGAGACAAAATACAAAGAGCAAATGACAAGAATCAACAATAGCAAACCCACAAAAAAAATTACAATTAGACTATATCGAAAGAAAAAAAAAAGATGGAAAATAAGTAGATAAAATTACGAAAAAATGAAGAAAATGTAAGAAGAGGCAGTAAGAAAACGCCACCAGAACGATCGGTATAGTTAATAAAAAACAAATGAAATATTTTGTCATTTTTTTATGGCGTAATTCTCTCTTTATGATGATAATATAAAAGGCATCAAGCAAAATTAATTCCTGCTAAAAGTGGCACAGCAGTTGGTGATGAGGTTGGAACCAGTTTTTGTCTGTCACGGTTTTTTTTTGAATATCGGAAGGAAACGTGAGCTCCAAACGAATATCTCGCTCGCAGTTGTTGTAATTTTGGCACGTTCGAAAGGTGTGCTTCAAGATAGTTCCTTCTCTGGCTTAGTTTATGTGATCGTATTTTTGAATTAGTACAGTGTAATAAAAGTGGAAAACCCGGATCATGATTGGTTTAGCAATTGTGATAATCAGTTTGTTACAAACATCTCGAAGTCATGAGGTTCGTCCAACCGTTTGTTTGGAGCAGCATAATCGTTGTTTAATTGGAGCACATATGACGGATTTGAACGGTTTATCTTTCGAGGCATACTGGGGTATTCCGTTTTCCCAGCCTCCCATCGGACGGTTAAGATTTGCGGTAAATAATTTCACCACATTGTTCGACCAACTTTCTGCATCACATGAACAATTTTAGAATCCAGTACGACACAAAGGATGGAACGGAGTGTACAATGCAACGATCCCCAAAAGTGTATGTATGCAAATGGATCCACAGCTCGGATTTCTTGGGAGTGAGGACTGCTTGTATCTGAACGTTTACAGACCAAAGGTAGGTTCAGTAACTCCATAGATATTTGTATAGGAGAATCTAATGCTCTTTCTTTCAGCATGTCAAAGCACCACTTCCGGTGATAGTTTTCATTCACGGTGGCGCCTTCTTCTATGGCTCTGCTCTGCCATCCGTTTATGGACCGGAAAAGTTCATGTCCAACGGATCAGTCATTTTAGTCACACTGCAGTATCGCGTGGGGGCATTAGGCTTCCTATCCACCGGAGATTGTGATGCACCTGGGAATGTGGGATTGAAAGATCAAAATTTAGCACTAGGATGGGTCAAAGAGAACATCGAGCGATTTGGAGGCGATCCGGATCTTATCACCCTGGTCGGACAAAGCGCAGGCGCTATATCGGTTCAACTTCATATGATGTCTCCTCGCAGTAAAGGTCTGTTTCACCGGGCGGTAATGATGAGTGGAAGTGCACTGATACACACCATCGAGCCCCCGGACATGGCCATACGGTTGGCACGATATCAACTCGCTGCTATTGGACTTAATTCAGTTGGTGAGATGACTTCAGAGCAAATTTTACTCATCCTTCGAAGTGCGGATGCTGCGGCAATCGTACGAAGTATAATGCTAGTGACGGTATAAATTTCGCAATTAAAAGAGAATATGTTGCAAGCAATTGAATTTTTATTTCAGCAACTGTACAATCCAAATGAAGTGTATTCCGTCTTTCGGCCGACATTGGAGGTCTGTAATAATGATGAAACTTTTATTAATCGACTGCCAAATGAGCTCTGGAGAAACGGAGAATACGCACAAATTCCTTGGATGGCAGGGCTCGTCCAAAACGAAGCAACAGTCATCACGTTGGGAATTCTTAACAACGAAACACTTCTCGGCTACTTCAATGCCAATGCGCCAAATGTGTTTCCTGAGCTTGTTGGACTGAATTCGAACGCAGCACCTGCTCTTAAAACCCGTTTTTTCGGAGGATCGTTCACTCCTATTTGGATTTCCGAAAGCAATGGTCAACGGTTCACTGATGTAACATTTAACCGTTATTGAGAAAAAGGTACCGTTTTAATCCGACCATTTCCTTATTTTGCGCATAGATGATGAACGAGGCAGGTTTTAAGTATCCACAGCAGTGCAGTGCTCGAGTGCATCTATCCCGTGGAAAAGGCCATCCCCCAGTGAGTCTATTCTATTTTAACTTCAAAGGACCCTACTCGTATTGCTCGCTGTACGCTCCGAACTCTCACCGAAACTACGGTGTGTGTCATGGCGATGACGTTATGTACATCTTCAGACAACCGGCTCTGTTCCCTGACTTTGAATCCAACTCAGCGGAAGCCAGAATGTCCCGCAGATTGGTCAACTATTTTGTGGAATTTGCTTATAATGGGTAAGGTTAAATGTTTTGCTCAATACAGTATCAACCATTCACTCATTAATTTGATGCATTTTAGTGTCGTATACCCTGAAAAAGGATGTACATCCTTGGACAGCTGTAGGGTGGTGGAATTCAGAAACTTCGATGGAGAGTGTAATTGTTGCAGTAGTGGAAAAGCTTTCGTGGATGCGTTCGACTTGGATATGGTGCGCTTTTGGAATCAGTTGTACCATGAAACATGCGAGTCCAATGTAACGGTGTAAAAAACATGTGATATTGATATAATTACAACTTCCATTCCACATTCCACATTCCACTTCCGGATTTTAACTGGACCACACTTTATACAGGATTAAAGTGTTTCGTTTCCCGTAATGCAGGTGAACTTCTTCCGCTATGTTTATTAATTTAATAATTAGATACCAATTTTCCAAGATACCAGGTTAATTTGTTGTAACATAACAAGAACATTACATACAGTTGATAAACAATAAAAATCAATAACAAAGATATGGGAACAAGTGGTGACATACTAAGAGGAAGAGGAGACAACTGGCTTCTTACTCTTTTATCTCTATCTCTATCTCTATCTTACGCACTGCAAATCAGCCAATCACGAGCTGGTTCGCGTTTGACAGGAAAGTGGTTCGTTTTCGCCCCCGTATTGTCTCTTCTTCTCTTGGGTGACATCTATGGGTTGACAGATTCTGGCAGCCAAAATTAATGTTCTTCGTTCAATCATGATATGAAGTACTAATGGCACCGGTGGTTCTGTTCGGGTTCATACATTTTTCCAATAGTCTTTTTGGTCGTTTTGGTTATATTTTTATTTGGTTTTACTATTTTTATTAGTTTTTTTTTTATAATAATTAATTGTTAAACCTCGAGGAGTTATCATTATTTATAATGGCCTGAATTTCTCATCCCTTTTACCCATCTCCGCAGACCATTCCAATGTGGAAGACACATTGGAAACAGAACGATACCACGATGTAGTAATTTTTGTTTTTCCGTTTACTGGATTGGGGGCTGTTCATTAACTACGTAGACAGTTGTTTGGGATTCTCCCCCTGCGTAGACAATTGTCCATACACAATTTCAATTTGTATAGGCCGTGGATAATTGCCAAACCCCTATACTGTCTACGTAGTTAATGAACAGCACTTTTTGTGCATGTTTCCCATCCTGAGCCCGAGATTACAACGCAACGCAATGCAACCCAAATATGAGCATTGCGAATCAAAAGGAAACCACAACAGCTGGCAGTACTCCCGGGACGGGACGCAACACCCAGCGAAACGGCAACGTGATCCATGGATGCATCGAGCTGTTGTAAACTTTCGCTTGCACATATTTTCGGTGCAGTTTCTCTTTCATTTTTGCATAAATGAATACCGCGTACGGATACGCTGATGCATGATGCGGGGGTGCATATGCATTTTTGGCACCAAGGCAGACAAGACGACCGCCGTCTGGCGTAATTGACGCATGCACATTTATTGGACTGAATTGAATGCTGACACAGTGACTTATATTCCCATGTTGCATCCATTCATTGATTTCATCGGCAGTATTCCCGTCTGGATATATCGTAGTAAGTGGGAAACCTACATTCGGATCATTTTGGACGCGTGTGCTTCCAATCGGCGGTCATCGATCCGAAACGTATTGTCTGGTCTTATGGTTAATTTTTATCGCAAAATCTGTTGATCGATGCCTGTGTTATCTGGTTGCTTAAGCGGTACACAAAGAAGTGTTAGTTTTAACACAGTTTTGCCAGTTTATCACTGAGGTCAGCTGTGTTGTTGTAGATTGGAGTAGGCGTATGGACTCAGCAGTATTTGCCTTGCCATTTATCGCTCTTTATAGGGTTGCTACGATTGTTAATCGGTTTTTGATAAATGGGGGCTTAGGTTAGAAAACAAGCGGTTCAAACTAGTCAATTGGAAGTCTCTCATACAAAATCTTAATACAAAAAACTGTATCGCTGAAACACCCACCTTATGAAAGCTTAGGCTTGCACCTTTGCAAGTACCATGCTAGTACCGAAGATTTTGTTTTATTTTAATGTTACCAGTGACACTGTGAGGAACACACCGATTACAATGCATTCTATCTTTTTTTTTTTTTAATTCTTTATTTAAGAGATTTTTAGCCTTAGGCTAGTTCATCTCTAATAAATGCATTCTATCATGCCAAATGATTTGGAGTAATCTTCTACAATTATTGAAAGTACCCAACATCATATGAACATACAAGTAATAAGTTTTAACTTGTTCATTCATATGGATTAAACCAATTAGGCTAACGGGCTATAACAAGATGTTTATGAATTAGGTACACTGGGGGAAGAGGGATATGAGGGTAAAGGGCAAACATTGGCTTGGCTGTGTGACTAGTATATATTCGATATTCGCATAACAGTCCCATGTCCTATGGATTTTCTATCTACATAGGACTGTTATGCGAATAGCGGTAGTATATGATTGACACTAATCACAAAAAGTATATCAGCTCAATTGGTTGGAGGACAGCCGAGAAATGACGGTGGGTGGACTTCACCATCCATCGCGCTATTCGCGGGATTCCCGTAGATGGAAAAGTTTCCATAGATGAATATGAAAAGCCTACACGGTAAGAAAAATGTACCCAAAAGTAAGTTCGTTAGGTTAGTTAGTTGTACCCAAAAGTAGGTAAATATGATTATACTCAACGTTGGGTTCCCACACTTTACTACCCTAGTTGGGTGATTTTGCTCCTTCATTTTTGACAACATTATTGTTTATTGATTTGGTTGTTCGACTGGTTTTATGGAGATTTCGTTTTTATGGCTTTCTCAGTCTAGGGTAATTCAAACAGTTAGTTTTGCATTGCCCCACACTTTTATTGTTTATTGTTTATTGAAAAATTCAACTGACAATTATTGTCTTAATGAATAAAACTTAAACTAAATAGTTACGGTCAACGGTACGGAAAAGGCCAAGTAGCCCATGACGAAACATGTCAGCTGATACATTGAAGTCGAATATATAAAAAAAGTTGTTGAATTGCCGGTTGATTGCTCGAATTGGCTCGTGTTGTGTATAATTTCGGCGCCATGGTTCCAAAAACAGAAAGTCGCGTTGACGAAGAGACTTCTCAGCTGTGACAGCAGTGTTGGACAGTCAATGTCACCCGTAAGCGAGGGGGACGACTCTATCTACGATGCGGAAACGATTTTGTTCTAGTGTGGTTAGCTGCACGTACGCTGATTAGATAGAAAGAAGATTTATGACAATTCTGAAGATTTCCTGCAAAAAGATGATGCGCGATGCAAGTAGATGCGAGAAATGAAAGAAGATTTTTAGTAGATTGGTTTGCTAGTGTGAGATTTTTCGAGCATCTATAATTGAGATTTAGATGTGACGCCCCCTCGACCGTAAGCAGCTTTCCAGCGAACATAGCTTGAGCGACCGTCCGTCTCACCTCTAATGGCTCGATTCTCAGGAGACGGCAACGCTCCTCGTTCTAGAGATGAACTAGCCTAAGGCTAAAAATCTCTTAAATAAAGAAAAAAAAAAAAAAAAAAAAAAAACGCTCCTCGTACGGTTGCAAGTTCGTTGGGTCACGCCAGTTGAGGAAACGAAAAGTATATCTCACAAACTTGCGTTGAACGGATTCTAGTGATCCAGCTAGCATGGAAAGGGCACCAAACAACTAAATTTATCTCCAATAAGGATCGCACAAGCGAGCAGTAGAGTGACCTGAGGCATAGCGGGTCACGGAGCTCGTCGGCAATTTTGAAAATAAAGCCCAATTGTTGTAAAGCTCTGGAGATGATGTCATTGTAGTGGATTCTGTAAATGAGTCTGTAGTCCAAGGTAACGCCGAGATCCTTTATGTGCTGTACACGAGCAAGTATCGTCTGCATAGAAGACGCGGCATCCTGATGGTATCAGCAAGGCGACGTCTTTTATAAGGAGAAAAGGAGACAATCTAGTTAAAAGTAGGTCAGAGTGAACTGGCCGTTGGGTACTTTTTTCTTACCGTGTAGGTACGATAATCAGCGTTGCCAGATTGGTTTTCAGTGTATCGGTGTCAAAAGTTTTGAAGAATCGGTATTTACCGCACCGTTTGAAAAATTCATGTAAATTTCTGCGATTTATAGCGCACATAAAGTTAACGTTAGATTTGGCGTAATGTTACCCGATATTTCGTGTAAATTTAAGCGCAATATCGCATAAATTAGCAATATTGTAGGCAAGTTTGTAAACGATTTCGTTGTTTATGCCAGCTATAGCTCAAAATTCAACGAGGGGACATTTTATGCGATAGTTAAAATTCAGAAATTTTTTCAGTGCGGTACTAATTGTTTTAATTAATTTAATGTTTTTTTTTATCGGAAAACTTACTTTTCCGGGGAATGTTTGAATTAGCTTCTGAAGGGAGCGGAAAAAACTTCCAGAGAAAGAAAAAAGAAGCTCTTCTGGAGGAAGTTTGAATAAAGTTCTCAGAAAAGTAGGAAAATCATCAATAAAAATTATTGAGAAACTTCTGGGGAAAATTTAGAGAAAATTTTCAGAAAAATCCAGAGGAAGCCAGAATGGTTTCAGAAATTGGAAGAAAATTCCAGGAGAAGTCAAAAGAAGCTCGGAAAACCTGCCAATAGAAGTCGGTTTGAAGGTAGCTGGGAAGATACTTCTGGAGAAAGTCGGAAAAAATCTAGAAGCAAGAGATTTCTGGAGT